GCAGGAATGGCTGCAGTTTATTGACAGAGATATCATCCCTTCATCTATTCAATGGCCTTCGGTACACGTCTGAATCAATAGCTTTACTACTGAAAACAGCATGTAGGAACATCTTTGGTAAATAGAATTGTTAAATTTTTTTAAATTGCACTTTCAATACCTAAAAGCCTTAACAGAGGAAATTCGTGACGGGAACAACTATAGATCATATTCTTTGATTCAAATTAAGTTTTCAATATTGAAAATGCACAAATGACTCAAACGACACTGTGGAATTATCACACCTGTGACGAACAACCGCTGTGAACGCTCTGAAACTTTATCACTGGGCAGTAAAGATGACTGCATTGAGCAAGTGTCATCCTTTAATGCTGCACAAATGCTCCAATTGCAGCTGGTAAATATAGCAAGAGGTGACTTCATTTCCACAGACACTCGCTTCTCGGGCATCATCCTTGGTGATAGTGATGCATGCTAATCCTTGGTTAAATATCCATTTAGCATCTTCAAGGGCCATAAAATAAGAACAATAGTTCATTTCCAGGTAAACATAACAACACTGCTTTTGGAAACATTCAAAAAACAAACAACCCAAGCGATATGTGACTCCTGATAGACCAGCTTACTGTGGACTTTGGTCCAGTTGCCAACTCAACCAGATTTACTTCCTTTTTGGAAAAAAAGTGTGATTGTAATTGCAGCAAGTCTCTCATAGTCACTGTCTGCTCAGAGGAAATGTCTCAACACTATACACAATTGAGAAGAAAATACGTGAGCAAACGCTCATAGATGTAGAAGCAGCACAGGAACATTATCAGGACACCAAGACTGTACATAAAGTACCATCAGATCCGTGTTTCAAAGGCACTGTTTCCAAGAGCAAAACCTTCATGTACGTAAGGGATCATTTCACTTTTGAAATGGATTGTTTTCTAAGAATAAGTGTCATTATTATCAACAGCAATACTGAACATGGGATTCAACTGAGGAAATATCAGACTTACCTGTTACGAACAATAGAGGAATTTCAGGTGAAAATACTGTTCAGGCACAGTCTGCTTAGCAGTTACTGGAGTTCCCGTTTCCTTTCTTTTCAGAAATTCCATGAACCAACAACAGAATTCACTTTGTGAAGTTTTATTTTACTTCTAAACTGCAATCCACCTGCAAACACACAACTCCAAGGAACAGCAGGATCAATTTTGACCTCTTACTCCTTTATGTTTGTCTGAGTTGTTACCCCTCCAGTGACTACGTGAAAGATTTTGGCCTTTGACTTTCCACTTTTGTTAGCCTTAAATCTTGCATCAACTAAAACCTAGCGGTAGGATACATCTAAAACACACTGGCATGCATTAAAAGAACATCAACAAACATGAATCAACACGTGCATCGTGAATGGAAAAGATTCTAGAAGAAATCTCATATTCGACTCTGAGTAAAAGGCCCAAATATTTTCTCAAAAAGAGTATTTGCTTTCTTCCTTTCCTTTTTAAATCTCGGTGTTATGACCTGACACATGTAGGGAGTGCTTCCTCGATAAAAAATGAGCCAGATCTCCAGTAGAATTTACCTTGCTAAATTCAGGTTGTATCCTGCGCAGAATTTTCCCCCAGACTTTTTGCCATTAGCATTAACCTCCCAGTTATTTGGACTCATGCTGAAGTCTACCTTTCTAAAAAGCCACAGTCAGTCTCTGTTTATACCAAACTCCATCTTATTTCTGCAGATGGTACCAGCAAGCGGGCTTCAGGGTGGCTTCAAATTTTTTTCCTTCTTAAAGAACCCTAGTGCCACATTTGCCACAACTTGCAAAGAAAAATAAGATGTACCCGAACACGTCACCCTCTGCACTGACCACAGCCACAAGCCAGGGACCTGTCACGTGAACCCAGGCGTTCTTTCCACAGGTCAGATGGAGCACATGATCTCCTTTTTTTCCAGCCCAAGTTATTCTGTGATTTTACAGACTTAACAGGTTACAAAACAACACCGGAGGAAGTGATGACCGCCTGTGCTGCAGCCTGGGACTCTTCCTTTAGCTAGAGGAAAGAATTTCCTTTGCTGGCGAACGCGGCAGTTTCATTCTCCACCTATGCAAACTGCTGTCTGGAGACGACCAGGCACCTACACTGAAGCAGCACAGACACATTATTTCTTGGTCTGTTATTACGAGCTATATTTAATTTTTAACTTGCACCTTTCCTTTTGCTTCTGTGTCTTTTGTACGAATCACGTTGAGAGAGTTGTTTCTATCTGATGGAAACAGATGTTCTGCTTGACCTAAAACGCCTGTTGATACAAGAACAATTAAACAAAGGCTTACGCGCAGAGTTACTGTCATTTACTTCAGATTCTATTATAACATGACAAATTGTAACTTCAGAAATTGTTCCCCCTGGTGAGGCAAAACCCTGCACTAACAAGCAATACGCAGACGATGCCCACTGCAGATCAACTTTTGTTTTATTTTCTCATTTTAACAGGTTAAAAATAAGGTTTTTTGTGGGAGCCGTTCCGAATCCCGAACTGGGGCTCCTGCCGGCGGAGCGGAGGAGGCAGGCAGTGCCGCCGCGTGGCTGCGAGCACCGCTGCACTGCCCAGGTCAGCTGAGAGCAGAAATTCAGCACACGCTATTCAAATATTTGTTTCGTAACTTCCTATCAAACCCTCCAATGATGGAATCTTTGCACAATTTTCTTATAATCCCATTATTTCTCAAACATTTTGAAGCAAAGTCTTCTTTTTACCTATTTTTCTGTTAAACTCAAAAGGAACATTATTTACCACAGCATGAGAACCCGGAATAAAATTATAACAGCTCAAATTTTAATTGTCCAAGTACACACACAAAACCTAAGCAATTAAATATTTTAAAAGGCATTTAATTTTTTATTACCACTTTAATAACCTGCAGAAGGATTCTCAAAGGGTAGGCAAGAAGGGATCCCATGTGCAGCCACTCTGCTTCTAAGTCATCACTGATCTCACTTCAGATCTATCAAAATTACACCACAGAAAAATGTGAGAACTGCTGAATTAACGTGGCTCAGTGCACTCGCTCTTCAGAACTATGTGTAAGAAGGAAAAGTCTCACTCTCTCATGTACACAGGCAGACATTTTAAATAGGATTAAATGGACCAATTCTAAAAAAAACCCCTGAACAGAATGTTCTTAAAAGAAAACCTAAAATAACTTAAAACCAAAACTTAGAAGAGCTGAAATATCTTAGAACTATGTGCTACGCTGGACAAACTGTGAAGAATTGCTGTATGCTTACTCACACGTTTCAATTTTTTTGATTGACAAATCCATTTAAGCTTAATAAAAACAGTAGTGAAACTTCAAAGCAGGAAAACAGCTATTAAAAATTATCTGACAAGGAGTGACACTTCATCTGCATCCACAGTATTTAATTTGTTTGAATAATATAGTTACAGATAAACAGGTTCACTCCATATACAATTACCGATACCTTTTTTTAATACAGTTCATATTCCAGTACATCAACACTATTATATTTACAAGGTATTTATGTACATTAACATCTTTCTAAAGTCAGTGCATTTTCAATAAGTTTTATACAATAATTTACAAAGTGAATGTAGTTAATAGTTAACTTAATAAATTTACTACTAATTCATGAATTAATTTAATTTAAAAAATTAATTACAACCAATGTAACAAACACAGAAGATCAAATAACATTAGTAGATTGTGCTACCTGCTTAAATAAAACATTTTAAAGTAAATCAGTTGAAAAAATCTTTCACTTTTCATGGAGTTTGTGTACGGAGGAGTAGACAAATGGGCGTTGAAAAAGCTTCTAACCTAGAAATTCACAAGTCATCTTTGCTTTTCCTCAGTCTCAGTGTTTAGCCCACTTCAAAGATGAAATACCATATAGGATAGGGAGCAACACCTCACAAGTAAGACAATACTTACTTTGGAACTGCTCTGCTGTTCTCAAAGAGGCACGACCTCCAACAACGGCAGGGAGGTTTGTGCCTGAGTAAAGACAGCAACATCAGATGATATAATTTCTTAAATGGACAAAACTCAGGTATTTCTGGAAATTATTAACTTACTAGTAGGTTTGGCATTCTTCTAAAACACATTAAAATGAATCCAAACATTTATTTCAGAGATCAACCGTGTAAGTATCAATTTTCTTAGCGAAGATAGAAAATCTGAAGAATTTGGAAGATGACATAGGACAAAATTAGTAAGCTGCTTAGACTCAGCTGAAAAACAAAAGGCCGAAAGAGTGAAGCTTTTATCTTCATTCAGATATGCAAACAATTTAACACTGAAAATGTTTAAAGAAATGCCTGCTCAAAAACTAACCGTCTTTTTTCCAGTCTGCTAAGTCTTAGTCACGCTTTCCTTCATGCGATAAGCCCACTGACTTAAAAGAGCACGTTCCAAGGGCACGGAAAGCAATTCTGGTTTAATTGCAAGTATATGCATAACCTGCCGCAAAAAAGAAAATTTGAAAAGGCAACCAAATTTTGAAAGAAAACCAAAAAAAAAGAGCAACTCCATTAAATTATGAAACCAATAAAAAAAACCCCATCCATGAATGCTACGATAGCTACCTGACAGCCACAGCTTCTTATTTGTTTGAAATACACAGTGGATAATTCACAGCCATTCACTCCAGAGCCCTTACAACAACAGAAACAAACTATGGTTTTGAATTTAATTATAGGAATTTTCAAAAGTGCAAATTTAAAAGCAACACCAGTCATGAAACATAAGCTCAAGCATCTTTCCTTCCAAAAGTTGGGAACATTTTGTGCAATGTGCACATTTTAAGACACCATGCGTGTAATCACAACTACTCTCTTCAACCTGAAGTTTCTTCTTGAGGCATCTCCAAAGTTGGAGATAGCACTCTTCAGGCAGAAAAGCATTCCTGAAGCATGTTGATCTGCACAGCCAACACGTGGAGAAAACACGAGTATAATAAACCATTCAAGTGTAGAAATTAATCTCTTCTCAAATTATGATTTGGTTGTGCTCCCAACATACAGAAAGAAAGCAACTGACACACGTTAGTGGTGGCAAAACTGGAAACTTCTCTTACTCTTGATGATAATTCTTTACGTTTGTGCACTTTTCATTCTCTTGCTTTCCCTGTTTTGCCAATAAAATGCAATAAAACTGCAGGAAAAAGGAGGTAGCAATATCATGTTGTCCAAAGACAACACTACGTTTTTTTTCCCCATTATCTTAAACCTAAAGAGAGCCTCAGGGGTTTGTTAGAACAGTTGGTAAACTCTACACTACTTTGTTTAGCTCTTACTTGGACTATTTAATTTAGCTCTTATTTGGTCCTAGTCGGCTTTTCTCAAACCATTTTATTTAAAGGCCAATGGCAGTCTCAGCCTGATGTCTAACATCAGAAATGTTTAGAGCATGTAGTGAGATAACAGAACAAAACAATACTATCTTTATATTAACTGCTATTTAATTAGGGTTTTCTTTTTGTGCTTTCAGATCACAGGGGACAAAAACTACACTTAGGTTATCTGTTTCAGCAACATTTTCGCCAAACGCAAGTCTCAGGATGTTATCCCTCACACTCAGAACAGTCCATGGAAGATCATCTGCTTACTGTAACACACAGTACTTCTTATAATCCGACTCAAAATCTTCATCCATGCTGCTTGTGTCTGCCATCTTTTTGCCGTCTATCTTTGGCAGAAATTGTGCATAGTCTACCCCCTGCTGCTCATAGAAAAGAATGTAGGCAGAGTCGGTGTCGATTTCATCGGGATGCAATTCCTGAGAAAGGGAAAAACACGGTCTGAAATATGCAACGGGACAATTGTGTTACTGTCACTGAACTTAAAATACACACAATTGCCCTAGAAACAGTATTTTTAACTGGCTGGTTACAAGAAGAATCACATTTTGTGTCTCCCTTATTATAGTTATTAGGCTCCATTATTTACTTAAGTATGACAAATTTTAGTGATAAATGCAAATACTTAGAAACGTTGGGACTTAATTGTTCACTAATTGAATACAAAACTGCTAGCATCATGAAAAAATATTCTTGGACTTCCATTTTTAGTAATTTTTCCATCTTTGTACAAAATAAGCATCTTTCCTTTACCATGGTAACAGCTGATGAACAGATGTTAACTTGAAAAAAAAATCTCATGAACCATTTCAGTTAACAATTTTAATATTTATCCGATGCAACTTTTGAGATCCTTATGATTTCAAAGAACAGTTCTCACCGAATGTAAATTTATTTGGCTTTAGGTAACCAAGACAAAAATTATTTGCTACAAAAAATAAAAGATTTACCTTACAGCTACTGTCGTTGTAGCAGTACCACTTGTTGTTCGGGTTTTTGGCATAAGTGACATAATGACCCCCTCCCATAATTCCTGAATGGCACTGAAGAAAATGAAGAAGAAAATAAACTGGGGATCAAACATGAAACCTCAGAATTCAGAGAATAAAGATCATGAATTTGTGAACTGTTTAAGTGAGTGACAATGGTTTATGACAATACATCTGGAGGCGACTAAGCTTACACACTCAAGCAGGTGTGAGTGTCATCACGCAGAGATACACTTTACAGTTGTACTCAGTTTTATGGCAACTTTATTTTGCTGACAATGGCTCTACTTTGTTCCCCTTCTCAATAGATCCCTGCTTTTTGTAACGAAAACAATAGAGTAAGTGTATTTAGTCAAAACAATGCCACATAAAGATAGTTTACGTGCATAAAAAGTCAACTTACCGAAATTGCATATAGATTGTAAATAGGGTTAACACACACGTCTTCTCTTTGGTCATCTGTAATATCGTCCTCACTGTGGTTATCCATTTGACCGTTGATACTGCCATTACTATATGCATTCTGCTCACAGATGTATCCGTTGGCTAGAGTCATCTCACTGTCCTGAGCAGTATATAGTTCACTCTGGCTACCACCCAACATCTGCCCTCTAGTAAGAGCATCACCTTGATCAGAAGTAAGTCTCTGTTCCTGGTCAGTACCGTTCTCTTTACTTGCATCCAAATTTTCTTTGCTACTTGACAGTTTGTTTTTACCCAGTTGTGGTAGCCGCAGACGCCCTTTACCTCTTCCTAAAGTCCTTGGGCTACTGTTTGGGCTACTGTTTTTACTTGAAGGACAGCTGGTTCCACTTTTCCTCCCTAAAGACGGAGATGCTAAAACAGAAAACATGTAGACTACTAAGATAAGTCAACACATAGTCTAGATTTTTTTTAAAAAAAAGGTGTTGTTTTTTATAATAACCGAACAATAAAACCCACAGTTTCACTGCAACTAACGAGTAGTATATACAAGTAAAACTATCTTTGCGCACACACATACACCTATAAACTGAAATGTAACTATTTTATGCAGGAGCACATTCCTCACTCTTAGTCCAGTCCGCTTACACAAGCGGACAGTGCCAGTATCTGCTGTCACTGAGGAACTTTTTTCCTGTTTTTTTTATGGTAAAGCTTCACTAAGCTTTCCAGGGCAAACAGAAATGAATGTTTCAAAATAAATGCAGTGCTTTGGCCAAAGAAACATGAACATTTTATTCATAATATAATTTTTTTCCCTCCAAATACCAGTATTGACTGGAATTTTCCCTAATCATTACCTACCTTTGATATTATTCAAGACAGTAGTGTTAAGGGAGGATGGACTTCTGTTCAGTATATCGCCCTCTCCCGCAGTGTAAGTGATCTGCAGATCTATTTTTCTGGACTCCCCTTGGAGAGTCCGGGGTTCAGGAAGGCTGTCAGCCTGGAGCGTGAGCTGCTTTCTTTGAAAATGACTGGGATCCCTTTGTACCAAAAAGGCACTTGGGTCAAAATTTTCTCTAGGAAATTTAACAATTTTCTGTGATTTTATCCAACGGCCATTTACAAACTGAAATCTTTTCAGGTGAATGATCTAAGGAGAAACACATTAAGAGAAAATTAAAGGAGGACAATTACAGCACAGTGAGTAATTTCACTGTATAAAATATTTTTTTCCCTGAAACATACACATTCTGTCATATGCAAATAACAATAACAGTAACAATGCTGTAACGTGACAATTTGGATTTTGGGTAAAACACAGAACTAACGTTTTCACGGGGAAATGATGGAAAAGATTGCTTCAATTCAGTGACCAGCACTGTGTGTTTTGAATAACATACCAAATTTGAAAAGCGACAAATGCAGGTGTTGCACAACTAGGCAGAAGATCATGTTACCGGAAAGACTGCCTAAGCGTGAATTCTATGTCAGACCAGATGACACTGAATGCAAAACACCACCATTTCCTGCAATGTATCAGCTAAAAAGATTCAAAAGGATTTGAGGTTTGTTTTATTTGCCTGCGTTCAATGGCCCTCCTGAGACTGTGAAGAAAATCAAATCTTATTCAGAACAAGGAACCACACCTAGCAATTCAAATTTGTGATCAACGTACTTTGGTTTTGTTGCTGTAGAGGAAAATAACAGAAGATCATACCAAAATAGGGGGAAGTCTCCAAAGATCCAGTTTTTTGGTGGCCAAACAGTGGGTCTTGCATTTGGAACAGTAGTACATCTCATCCTCCCCCAGTTCTTCCTCACTGGTGAAAGCTCTAAGACAACTATCCAGATTGATGGGCTCTGCTTGAGCTCGCCGGCTTTGTTCAACACTTTCATGTTCTTCTACAATCTGAAGTGAGAAAAAACTGCATCTGACTTGGAAACACAGACAAACTGCTCAGAGGAAGGCTCTATGCACAGCATCATACAAATAACATCATATAGTTATTTAGAATTAAGACAGGAACTAGATGCACTAAGTTTTAGTAGAAATTTTATTTCTATTATGAAGAAGCAGACATACAAATAACGCACTATCCTTATTCTTGGGTTCTGCTTAAAAATTATTCATAAAGCACAAGTATCGATCCAACTCACAAGTTTGAACAGCTACTCTAGATTAACTCAGTTATAGGCTTACCTTTAGATATGTTCTGTTGACTCAATGAGGAAATACATATTTTGTAATATCTTGCGGAGACTAGATCAAAAGCAACTCACAACAGCCTGAAAATACACCGCTGTGGTTTCTTAAAAGCTTCCTTTCCACATTATGGTCACTTAAGAGGTCTAACATTAAAACATTAATTTATCCAGAATATACTGTTTGATGATTACTGACTTTAGTTTAACAGAAAATGGACAAAAGAAGCATCAAATTAAAAGAAAAATACATGGTGAAATGGGTTGTGCTCCAGAGCTATTAACAAACAACAAAGGGTTTGCATTGAAATGTTACCCGTTCTTGCGACGTCTGGTAGCGCAGATGGAGTGCTGTTGGATCCCAGTCTACAGCAATGTAAGCATTCCCAACACAAGCTCTATCTTCTGTGCACTCGATTTTACAGCCACGGCAAAATCTAAATCAAAGAGTTAGATGCAGTAAACTCACCAGTAACTAAGTTGTACATTACTTCTCACTCCAGTTCTGCTCCTTAGTTTGTTTCAGGCCTTGCCTTCAGTGTGAGAGACAGAGGCATTTTTATAAAACAATAAGCAGTGTCAGTTTGCTACTTTACTAGAAAACTTTAATAGAGATGAGAAATTGAAGCAGTTGGGTGAGCTCTACCATCTACCTGCACAGAATGCTGACCAAGCGTACCCAAACCACCAAAAAAACTACAATGCTTTGTCTCCACAACTATTTCGCAACATGATAGCTAATGTACTTTATTTATTTAGCTGTAAGGGACTTTTTTTTTTTTCTAAAGGAGTATACACTGAATACCTGTCAGCAAGGGTCTGGAATTTTCGTTAGCATGTCTTTGGTTAGGGAAAATTCCAAGCGTGCTTCCAGGGTGAATTTCTTATTGTCCATTTTAGTTTTCAAATGGCACAGAAACTGGCCAGGGTAGGTGATTTATGTCTAAAAGTTTGTTTTTGTATGAAAACCTCACAAATCATCCAAATATGTACACACGTGCCTGCATATATACACACACGCACACAGAATATTGTAAGGGGTTAAGAGGTTTCCGATATTGTCATGTCTGTCTCCTAACTTAAAGTTTCTGTGTCAGCAGAGCTTTCATCTCTCCAAGTCATAAAAGCTATTCTACAGTGAAGGTCTGCCACGTGAGGGTTTTGGTTAAATTGGATTCTAGATGCTTATTGTTTGATATTACCTCTGAAGTCTGAAACGTATCAAAACCGCATTACCATAAGTTACATTTCTGCTGGAGTGATTCCCTTCCTTAAATCTAAAAACGACAATTTACCTGTACCATGGACACCAAGCACAAGAATTTCCATCCTTCTGAACTACCCTCAGGGTGAACGGATACTGATAGCCCATGCTGTCATCACTGAGACAGAAGAGAACGCAATATGAAACACAAGCACTCATTCAGACTGCCAATTACCTTCTTTCACTAGGCTTGCTATGTTTGTTTACTTTAAAAACCACCACCACCACCCCCCCATTATAATTTTGATTAGATTAAGCTATTCAAACTAGACCCGCCTTTACATCACCTAAATTTGTCAGATATAATTAATTATCAATCACTGGATGAGAATGAATCAACCAATTCGTGTAAAGCCAACCTTTAAGTGCAATAGAAGGTACACTACATTTAACTGTATTAAAAAGGATCAGAAGTTATTTTTAATTATTGCCGTTATAAATTGCAGGACTCTAAAATGCCTTCTTGCAAAAATAACCCACTAAATGGAATCTGCAGGCAGAAAGAATTTGGGGTAAAAATGCACACAATTGTTCCTAAAGTTGTTGACATGTGAAGCTTAATTATATGTTAAAAAAAGTATGTTCGTTCAACAGAGGTATTATGAGAAGTCAAAACTGATAAAGATGAATGGAGTTTTAAATCTCGTAAGCAAGTCGATGCCACTGTATTACGTCATTTAAGGCAAAGACTGCGATGCCAAACTCACCAGTCCTGTGCATGATTACTGGCTTCCTGCGGCGGGAGAGGACTAGCAAGCCTGGAAACCTGAATCCACACAGCATCATACAGGTCTTTTTTCCGTGTATGAACTGTACAAGGGACAATTAGTGGCATTCCAAAGAGACTAGGACGATTCTTCTGAGATGAAAGAAAATATAATTCTGTCCGCATCTGCGTATGTGAAATAAAAGAATGACTCAGATATAAGTATGCATTAACCCACATTACCATAATTACTAGGGTGCTGACCTTGTTACTTATTTCAGGCTTTGGCAATTAAAATAAACCATTAATTCTATTAAAAGTACTCCACTTCAGGCATTTTTCCAAAATTAACTATTGTAAATTTTGGTCATTGACTCGAAATTCCCTGAAAACTTTTTGTATTTTATGATATTCTGGCAGCGTTACTTAGGCATTAGACCACATTAGCACAAATCTGTATGTCAACCATGGACAATATTTTATATTTCATATGACACATATTTCTTATATTTCCCACCACATGGTAATGTTGTAATGCAGACATGCACCTAATGATGCTCATACCTGTCCCAAAACGACCTCTACACTAGGCAAGCTTATGTTTGCTAAAGAAAAGCTTGATGTCCAAAGGAGGCACTGCAGATTGTAGACAACTTATTCCAAGCAAACCAACCTTCATGCTATGTCTCCCATTTATAAGAAAGATTTAACATGCTGACTTAATGACACCGAGGTGGAGCAAACAGCTACCGCCTTGCATAACTTTTATACGATTAACTCTTTCCATTGGTAAGATTTTTGACAATGACAAGCGAGGATTCTTGGAACGGCTTCCACAAATGACTTTTACTGTTTTTTAAGCCGTATAACTAGCAGCTTGTAATGGCTCAAAAACATTATACCAATTCCCTACGAGATTTTGCAAAATTTGAATCAAAGTAACAGTGATGACAGTGGTTAGTGGCCACTACTTGAGAGAATAAAGCAAAAATGCCTCATACAAACACACAGTAAAGAGGGGAGTGAAACGGCCTCCCGGCCCACATCCACCAGGCTCTAAACATCAACAGACTCCAAAGCCTGAACGCGTGGCTGTTTGAGGTGTTCAGTCATCCAGCTTTGACATTTAGACTTCAACTTAACTACAGATGCTTTTACCAAGAGTAGTTCATGCTAACAGAACGACCCAGGACCGTACTATGCATCTTCACTCCGTCTCCATGTAAGAAATAAGGCTTTTCCACATAATGGAAAGGAAATGCATTTCTAGTAGCTCCTCTAATTAGAATTTTTTCTGCTCAAAGAAACTGGAACATTTAATCAGGGAGTTAGCAAATGCCCAAGTATGCATCTCAGCATTAGAGAGCTGGGCAGCATGCCAGTACTAAAGAAAGAAAAATACACCAACATTAGACATTGTGATTTAAATTTACAAGAGTTGTGCTTCTGTAGAATTTGGCGCTCACTTAAGAGGGAAATGTAGTCATGCTCCCTCTTCTAAACATATAAAGATTAATTTATCACATGGACATTACAAAATCCTCGCTGACTTTCTCTCAAAGTGTGTTATGCGAACAATTTATAACAAATGCCAAATCTACTAACCATTTTTCTGTGGACTGCAATTATATACCCCGTGCATGGACTATCGGAGAGCGAGGGCACGTGACCGTTGAGAGTCCAGTTGGCAAGGTTACGCTCTGTCCCACATGGCACTACAGTATTTGGCATTCCATTTGGAATGAGGGTTGGTTTAGGAAGGTCCCCATTCATCATTATGTTGGGTGCTCCATTAGCTGACAGCCCAGTTGAGACATCTGCAGATAGACAATTACATTCTCAGTTATCTACAGTAACCAGAACTGACCACAAGACTTCTGTCCTTTCCATTCTGTTCAATGCATTTCATGAAATATCATCTAATCTCCTTAAGACCAACATCTAACCTTTTATGCAAAATCAGAGCATGCAAGAGCAAAGAATAACAGAGGGGTTTACAACCCTTATATGAAACCACAAACAATAAACCCAAAACCAAACAACATGCTTCAGATTTGTTACACGTCCTGCCTTAGAGCCAGTCCACAAGGAATAAATATTTTGTGCGTTTCTTGTGCCTTTAACTAAAATAAGTATATAGCAAGACTGCTATCCTTGGCATGATCCCACAAAGGACCATAGACCATCAGGAAATACTGAGACCGCTCACAGCTTTTTTTGTGAATCAGAACTCTTATTTGCCTTTTCTTTAATCCTCACCTTTTACTTATTACTAAGAAGTAAGGTTTCCTCCTGAATTTCTCCAGTACCTAAGCACTGTGCATTTTAAATGAATAGGAAAATAAATGTTTTCTTTTACCTGTCTGCACAGGACTTGATGCTGATGTAGGGGATCCCGGAATTGGTATTTCGAACGCACACAAAAACCCACTCACTGATAACCGGACTTTCTGGTTGTCTTGAGGAAAGTTCTTCAGTAAAAAAGGGAAAGTTAGTCAGACATGTACATACTCCTATATGTGACTCCAAACATGTTTTGTTCTTTTGAACACAGTGTATCTGTTAGCTCATCTCTCCCCTCCCATCTCCTTTTTACACCTTTCTGGAAGGAAAAGCAGCAGCCAACAAGCACACCCCTTTGCCGGTCTCTGCAGCGAGACCTGAGAGTTATTAACGGTTCTCTAAACAGACTAAGAGCACCTAGTTCCAAATAGTTTTAATCCTATTCAATAACAGCAAAAAAATTATATATATATGTACACGCTGTATAGAACCAAACCAGTCATTATTTATGCCTCTGATGTCTTAATAGTGTTTAAACTCATCACAGCACTCTAACTTCAGATTTATTACCTCAAGTTGATTTTATCAAAAAGATCATTAGTAATCAACTCAATTAAACTTCTGCAAGCTTCTGCATCATTATTAATTTTGTTTACAAGTGGTTTATTTTGGTTCAGTTTACTTTGATTTTAAAACTAATTAAAGCAAGCCAAATTACAGCTTAAGAACGAAATGAAAGTTCATATAGAGATATAACTAAGCCGACTTTTTTATCACACTTTTAGTTAAATTCTTTCACAGTTCTTGTAAGCAAAGCTTAATGTCAAAAAGAATGCCGATGTGCATAAATAATGAATAAAAATACCAAAAGTATGTTGCAGCAAGGATTAATTTTTTTTCTTCTTCTTACCTTTATATTGGAGCTATGCACTTCTGCAAGTAGAATCTGTTCTGGTTTTAGCCCGCAGAGCTCACTTAACTGTTTTTTCAAGCCTGTATACTTTTCATCCATGTTCAACCTCAGGCCGTATCGAACAGGAGTAGTACCGTCTAATTTAATTACTTTAAAGGGGAAAAGACACACACTGGTCAGCAAACTGAGACAGTTTTAACGAGAATAATACAGGACAGCTACTTATTAGAAAGTACTTTTTCCCCCGACTTGAAGATAGGATTTTTTTTTCCACCAGTCAATTTTCAAGGTCTGCAGGCAAGTGTCAGAAAACCTTTTGCTGCATAGGCAGTAGAAAATGGTTTCAAAATTTGTTTCACTTTTTTATCATCTTTCCTTTTGCCTCTTTTCCAATGATACACGGGTTCTTCATAGTATAGTTCATGACCCATAAAGTATTTTCGTTTGTACACCCCTCCCAGCCCTTCTTTTTCGGTCGAGGCAGATTTAGGACAACCTCCACAACGCAGTGAACAGAAGGAAAGTTCTCCACATCTCCAGTTTATGTGTTTCTGTATTAAGCCCTTCAGTCAAGATTGAAAACGGACCATCTATGCTCTGTTTTTAAAGATTTTATTTCAGATTAACTGTATTCCAATGAACATCTTGTACTATTATTATATTAAAATGGTTATATATTTTGAAGTGTAAGTGCTAACACAAACAAAATCTGGATGTTTTATAGCTGTTCTACTTATACGATTTTTATTCTGGCAATGACAAATTTATGGGGAGTTAAACACTACCACTCACCTGTAATTTCTAGGTGCATGTAGCTATCCATTGGCAAAGGCAAGGACAAAAAATTAAAAGGGTCAAACCTAACACTTATATGTCCACAAGTTTTACATTTTACTTGTGACTTCAGCTGCCCGTGAAATAAATCTACAACAATGGATCTGTTTCTTCTCAGATGGTTTTCCCAGGCCTAAAATAAAGTAGAAAAAAACCAATACAAAGTTAGAAACTGAAGACTACTTGCTTGAACTGCAGGAAGGAAGACATTCTGGAAGACCTCCAAAGTTTCATTGGTGTATGGAAGTCAAATTATTTCCATTGAAGTTGTTTACCAATTTCTAATAAATAGGAAGTATTTAGCTTCAATATGAGTAAAGAAAAGTTATTTCAATTAACACAATAATCAATGCATGACATCATTTAAAGTACTTCTGAAAGGATCATCAGATATCTTGAAAAATTTTGATACTTCATAATTCTGAGGAGCTGTTCAAGATGATTGTGAAGTATCATCTTTAAACCTTTATTATAATACTTAAAACTCATTTTCAGTTCAAAGGTGAAACTGGCTCTTTAAATCACAGATCTAACAAGTTCCAAAAGATGGTACAGTCCTGAAAGAGTAATGCCACAGTCTCATCAACAACTTAGCACCTTAGTACTATGAGGGAAAAAAAAAGGCCAAACAAACCAACTCATACCTCTGCTGCTACTTCCCAGTCTGGTCGACCATCACTGTCTTTAAGTTCAACATATGGCTTATCATGAACTCTGTTCAAATCCTCATGAAGACCATCCAAAAGAAAAGCCAGAAGCTCCTGTGAGTCTTGCTGTTGAAAGCCATTAAATCTTGGAGCATATTTTGCTATTGTCCACTATAAAAAAAGCCAGAAAGTTATTCAACACCTTGTAACAAAAATTGTAACAATAAATCAAAATATTGTAGACAAGACACATGCTGTCAACAAGCACAAATTCAACTGCCAAGAACTGAAGGTAACCCCCTATGCTTTCAGAACAAAAGTCCATTTGCAGGCAAACGCGTAATCTTTTGTCCCTAACAAGGACTATATAAAGCCACAACTTAAGACCACAACACCTCTGATTCGTATCGGGTAACTCCTTTGACCTTGCAGCCACTGAACCAAGCACCTGAACCAGTCCTGAGCACCAGGACTGATGCACCCAGGCCTCCTCCAGATGTGCATCTTGTGCCTGCACAGCCCCTGCCAGAACGCCGCCCCTACGTTCCGTACAAGCAAGAAAACAAATTCTGTGACCAGTTTGGGGTAACATACGTGATGACTGACTGCCCAGGGTATGGTCACTGGCTTCACAGCCAGCTTCTAACACGTGAAATAGACTTCCAAGTTTCCTTCCCTTTCTCTAGGGGAGTTGAGTCTCATTACAATACAGCTAACATCAGGAATAAGTGCATTGAAAGATTTCTGCTATTCAAAGAAACTCTAGCCTTCTACCTTTAAGTAACACACATCACAGACTTACCCGCAGCTTTAACGGTGCTATATTCTTCTGAGTTCCACTCCACAACTCCTGAACCAAATCCCCATAGCACTTGGCCATGTGTCCTTTCATTCCTATTGGATTTGTCCTAGAAGTCATGAAGTAATTAATACCATACTAAAATTTAAACAAAGGTCAAGCATGGAGATAAAGAAGGAAGTGCAAAGGCTTCTTGCCGAACTGTTTTAACTCTCCCAGAAAGAAAAGATGTTATACTTTGAATTATCTTGTCTAGTATCTGCTGTATAGCTGGTGGTTGATAACACCAAACCTAAAAGGATTTATTCATACTGTCTACTTCTGAAAGCTGAAACTCACCTTAAAGAAATGTTACTGCATCTAAAATGCCAATGGTCTCAAATAGACAATTACCTGTTAAGTTCATAGAGATGTCTTCCTGAGATGAAATACCGCGTCAGAGGTTGTGTATTACTGACACACTGGATACTGGAGTTCATGAAGCACGTGTTACCCAGATTGCTTAGTCCAGTAGCACCTTTTTCAGTAGGAACTGAGATAAAGAAAACATAATTGTACAAGTTGTGCAGATGTGGAAAAATTCAGAATGACCTATCAGTAAAGTTAAGAATATGACCTTTTCACAGTAACTAATTCAATTTAACCTGCTCCCAATTACGGGACTACAGCTAGCACAGATGCAACAGAGGACCAGCCTGTTCAAAATACCTGCTCTATCAACTTCACTTAAGTTAACAGGAATTGAGGTATTTTGTTGGATCTGATCCATCACAGACATCAGTACGATCCACACAAACTATTTTCAGGGAAATAATTATGGTACTCAAATTTCTGGATTACTTTGTTAACAATATTAACTACTGCTTACCTTAAAAACCTCCAAGATAATAAACACAAAATTCAGAACTTGCTATGTACCATTTGCTACTGTTCCATCTGAACATCTACAAATTTATCTACCTACACATACAACCCTCCCACATTTCCAGCATCTACGTTAACAAAACAGAAAGAACAAGCAAAGCAGCACAGGCATAAAAGACCTCTTCCAACGTTAAGAGCACTTATATTAAAAAGAATTGTTTGAACGTAATATAGCCTCTTGGATTTTTTTCCCATCATAATTCAATTACTATGCTGAAACACTTACCTTTATGTCTGTCTATTTTACTGCTGTTTGCTATAAAAGACATCTCTTCTGGCCAGCTCATGTCTTTGTTTCGAACTAAAAAGAGATATGGTAAAAGGATTGTTTTAAATTGTTACTTATTCCAGAGAGCTTATACAACTGAAGAGGTTTAATTAAAATTTTCTAATATTTAATTGAGATTAGAAATTTTTCTTATTTTTAGTAATTATTTTTGCTGGTTTTCATTTCAATGTCTCCAGTCGTTATGGGAAATCATTCCAATACTAGCATCACTCCAACCATGCCAGTAACATCTTTAGAAAGCATGAGATTTCTTTCCTGTCGGGTAACAAAGTTCTGAGTGCTTGTTCTAATATTTAATAAGGATCCCCCAAATTTGAAGAAATCTTCACTTCGTGACCAATCACTCATATTTTTTGTTGTTAAAATCCAACAAAAAATTTAACCGTATTTCAAAATAGGGACAAATTACATGTGTTTCAGGACAAAGTGGGACAAAAAACCGCAAGCTTTCCTAAACTAACTTTACCAATAACGCCCCGTAGGATCCCTCTGTCAACCTCTATCTCGCGTTGACACAAGCCATACAGCAAACTGGCTTAAGGAATGGAGTCAGCTGAAAAGGGAGTTATTTTTCACTAGATCACGTCTCACAGCCAGTTTGTCAGATAGGCGTCAGGGCCACAACGCACAGAGGAGGGGCAGACTGCTTCGCACAACGGCAGTGCTGATTTAGTGCCCGTTTGTTCATTGAACGACAGCCTGGGGGCTCTGTTCCACCCGATATAGCAAGGTGCAGTCCCTCTCCCCTCTCTCTACTTATAAATTCCCCCTTCTTCTCTTGTGTCCAGTGCTGAACACAGATACACAGTGAACTGCACCAGCCCCTCCGCCGATTTCAAGTTGATTAACTATGAGCCAAGAGGCAAAAGGATGAGTCCATCTAGCACAACGCAGGACCCAGACTTCTATACAGCCTCAGTGATGGAAGGACAACAGTAGAGTGGATTACATATGTACGCTTCTATTTCTCACACTAAAAGATCAGCCAAAAAGGTCAAATGAGTTGAAAATTCAGCTGATCCGTGCACCCCCACACCTTTGACAAAGGCTTAACCTGTTTGTGACTGACGGCACTGCCCAGCATGGCAGTGCGTGGCAGGAGGATGACACACAACGGACATAAATTGAGACAAGAAAGGTTGAGATTGTTTATGACGCCTTTTCTCCATGACGAGAGTCAGCCAAGCAGGCAAGGCCAAAGGGTTCTCGCCACATGTGAAAATAAAAGCAGCTTGTCATGAAAATCTTAGAAATGAGCCTGACATGGAATGAAACACGCAGTTTTCTTCACCTTTTGCTTTGTGATTAAGAATGTGTCCATGCAAATATCATAATGTGAACTCTTATAAAACTCGTGAAAGAAAAATCAGATAATGAAAAAGACTCGGATGCCTCACACTGCTTTGGTTAAATCTCTGGTATTTTAGTTATTACTGTAGGAGCAATGGATTATTTCAAGCTTTAGTATTTCTTCCTGTGTTCCTTCCAATACATACATATATAGAGACAGACATCTATTTACACAAACACTTCTCAAAACATTTCCAAAAATAAAATATTTAGATAGTAGGCCTATGTATTTGTGTAGTTTGGGCAATTACAGAAATGGGTACTACACACAATTTATTAACCACATATATACTTATATAAAACTCTGGCTTTAGTGTGTAAACCAATTATTGGCCCTTTTTATACCTTCTATTACTAAATGCTGCTCATCCTGGATTTTAAGATACTCCAGCCTGTGATCTTCATCATCCAGCAAAGTAAGATAGTTCTGCAGGAGAAAAAATACTTCATATAGTTTTAAATTATAGATTTTAAATTCTCTACGGATATTTTAACCTCAAAGCAATGAAATTAAAACAGTATTAACAATTCCTTCACAAAAATGAGAGCACCAGGTTTTCCTACCTATGTTAATTAAATACAGCAGTTCACCGATCTCCAGAAGCATCTAGTTCAATGCTTTAATTTTACGTGATATTTCTTTAGAATGAGAGAATTACATGCATTTAATGATTTGGAGGAGTACATTCTGCTTGTTCACTGTGATTTGTTCACATACGCATTTGGAAAAAAGATCCTGGATGGCTGCGGGCTTCCGTGGCAACAGAAGCCTACGGCATCAGGCATGTCGATGAAAAAATACTTTTTTATTTCCATTTAAAACAGTTTCTATGAAACTTCATATCAAGCCTTTTAACAGGTCAACCAATTGCCAATTTTAAATATATCACAGGACAATTTAATGATTATCAGGCTACTAGGAAGGGAAAAGGTAAGTTTCCTGGGTCATTAATACCAAAATCTAAATTTCACTGCTTGGAGCGCACAAAAGCCTCCAGAAATTAAGTGGCATGAGTTTTCCAGCTTGGGTGCTTAAATTGCAAAGGAAACTTATGTCCACTGTTGGGTTTTTTTTAGTGTGTGTGTATATTTAATAGTTTCTATGAAAGAATAAGATATACAATATCAAACAAATGATTAAAAAAAGAAAGAAGATCAACATTACCTCACTATTGTATAACCAGAGGCGCATATCTTCTTCTTTTATACGAAGCCTCTGGGAGAGATATTCATGTATCTCTTTAATCGTCTGCATTCGACTAAAGCAGCCGGTGTAAGCCAACACTCTTTTTAAAGGAGCATTTGGTGAAGGTACATTCCCTGGATTCACAATCATAAGAAAAGGGCGAAAGATTATACATACATCCATAGGCCAACTGAAATCAGATCAATAACAACTTATACGCTTCATATACTACAAGTACTTTTTGTGAAAAAGAAGTACACTGTTCTACTCCTTTTGTTTATGGATAAAATAATGAGTTAGATTGAAAGCTAGTTGTTACTAATCCTTTGGGACAACAAACTTGCTATCAAAAAGCAGATAAAATTACCTCCCTTCTTAGCAAAACCTATTAGAAACTTGCTCCCGTAAGGTTCTTGTAGGAAATATATAATTTTAAAGTAGTTTTAAAAGACTGGACTATTTTTTTTTTTCTCTTAAAGACAGAGTATCAGAGACAATGGTAATTTTTTAAAATAAGAGACTTCAAAATCTCATGAGAATTTTCTTTTTGAGCGCACATTGTGAGTAAAAAATGAGGTCAGAAAATTTGGCCTGGCTGTTCTTGGAAGTAGAATAACTTTGCTCCAGCTCTTCTACGCCACTCTGTGAAGATGAGATCAGCCTGGCAGTATCACAATAAAAGTGTTCTTAATAACGAAATTCCTCAAAACGTATTCTGTGAAGATGCCTAGGATTTTCACCAGAATTTCTCAACAATCTCATGTCTGCAACACAAACTAATTCCATCAGTGGAGACTGTCACCGTTTTCTATAATATGAGCTCATCTTCGACTAAAACATTTGCACAAGCTCAGTTTGAAAGAGATGAGAGCAGCGTTACATGCTTTATTTTTGGAGCTTCTTTAGTTTCCACTTAGGAAGTTCCCCACTCCTCACAGAGACAGGTCTGTAACATACCCATGAAAAGCTCTTATTATACACCCAAACCCATCTGGGCAACTGCATTACTTAAGTAACCGAAGAAGTGACATTGTTCTGCTTTCATTATCAAAAGATTAAAATAAAATAAATAGTACCATATGAAGAGATGCGATATTACATGCAATTTGACAAGGGAGTAAAACTCTATTGTAATCATCTTACAATTCAGCAAAGCATCAGTTTTGCTTCAGTATACCAAGCAAAGTACTCTTTTTTTTTTTTAAAGAACACAAAAAAGCATTTTCTGAGATTAGGGATCAGAGGATTAGTTGTAAGATTACAGCAAGAAAGCGTATCTGAAAACTCAAAAAGATTAATAACTGATTGGACAAATAAATTAGTGCAAAGCAAAATAATTCCAAATCAAGATCAAATCTGGCACATCAGAAGATTCTCCTTATTTGAATTTGGGCATTTTAGGATGTCCAAACAAAGCAGTTTCCATTTTATTAGGTCAAGTAGGAAAAATGAATTTGGCTAGCAGGCAGTTTCTGTAGCGGAACTTGATCAAGCAGGCAGCCACTAGCTACACGTTAGGTTTCATTCTACCCAAGCAGTGAAAAACTGAGCATCTGCATGAGATTTTTAAACACAGGCTAACATGGGCAAGGCTGAAGGATTTAATTTTCAGCGGTCAGGTGAGCCCATTTCTGGATATACGTTACTGTGGATGCACGTATCTGCCTGGATCCAAACGCGCATGCATGTGAACAGCAGGTATTTCTTCAAACCTACGGTGCAAGGCAAGTACGCGACTGCGCGTACAAACTGGTGACTGGAACCAGATCCTGCAACACTTTTCAGCTGAAACGTGAAGCTGCAACCTAAAGATTTTTCTTATAGCCCATTACTTGTACAATCTTTTGGTGAGCGTTACCAATACGTTGGTACATATATTTGAGTTGGATGTTCACACTTCCTACTGAATTGTCTTTCCGAACTGCATCACATAACAGTCTTCATATTCCACTAATTCAATCCTTTTCTGAAGAGTATTACATAATTTTGGCCATTAAAGTCTACCTGCCCGAGTAGCTCAGAACCAGTTAGCTGAACAATGATTTAATTTACTATAGCACTGTACTGCCACATACACCCACCCGCCCCAATGCACAGATGCACATATTCTTTGGCCACAAAATTAACTACCAAGAGGATTAATCAGATCTGCCCTTCTTAGCTGTTTGATTTATGCAGTGCTCATTTCTCACTTTCAACTCACCAACCTATTTGCAGTAACTATGCAACGTAACTGACGGCACTGAAAATGCTCCCTCGTGCCTCTTTCTTCCGAGAGATGATGGGAGAAAAGCTTTAAAATCTTTACCAAATGCTGATTGTGGCTTACAGTTGATTAGCTGGTGCACAAGCACAGTGGCAGCAAGCTCCTACAGCTGCGGGTCTCGCTTTCTTAGAAACTGCGCGCTTGTGTTCTTGCTGCATTCTTAAGTTACCTCTAGGTAAATGCTGAGGAAACATTCTCAGGCTCATCATACCCATATTCACCCAGATGTTCGACTGCTGCGTTCGAGTGGCGGGCTGCTGTCTCAGGAAGAGCAGATAGCGAGGGAATAACTCCAGTTCAGGCACGTTTGTTTTGCTGTTTTTGATCACCTAGTAAAGACGTTTAAAACACATTTTAGAGCCTGCTGTTCCAAACGCCCAGGAAATCCCACCAGGAACAGGAAGTAACGATTAAAGCAGATGGTTAAAAAAAATAAACTGTTTTACTGGGACATGAGACATCCTCTGAACTTCTTACCGGGTCTTAGGCAAATATCCACAGGAATAATTCATTACTGATTTCTAGGCACTTTTTGAAGCTTATTAGTGGCGGAATGTCAAAAGCAAACACCTTCTTTAGTGGAGCACAGCTCCCTGTACAACACCACGGAAAGAACGTTTTTATAATTCCTGAATTATACGTGAATTTACAATGGACCTCATTAATTCTGCTCAGTGTATAATTCAATATAGAAGTGTCACAACTGTTGAAAAAAACTCACACGTGCTGAATAAGATATTCATTCCAAACTTTAGGATTGAATTAAAACCTTCATATTCTAAGAAGAGACTGAAACTTACTTTTGTTGCATTTTGGTATGTTGACTGAAAAAGCTGAAATTACCCAGAACGTGACCTGCAGCTCTTCAGTCACCACTTCTACAAAGATTTGGCTCTCTAGATCTGCTCAAACGTAGACAAACATAAATGGCAGGAGCGTTCGCTATTTTTGTGACCATGTGAAGCAGAAGCAAATACTCAGCTTAAGTGGTGAGACGCAATATAAGGCACTGAAGCACCACGGCATTAAACTTCAGTTACAAAGACAATAGGGATGAAATTTTCCGGAAAGAAACAACGTAATAGTCCCTGCTGCGGGGTGGGAGACTGGGACGGTAAGTGCCTGTAGACATGGTTGCAAGTAATCAAACTGTCTTCAAGAATTCAAGTGTTCACATAACTAAGTGTTAAAATATTCCCTGATTATGGACCAAAAAGCTAAAGCTCATACATAAGTTAGTTATACTTTTTTTCAGACAGGACACCCAAACCAAAATTCTCTCATTCTGAATAGAAGTCTCTTTTCTAATGACCCTACCACAAAAATCTCAAGTACATTAGCGTGTGCTGTGTATAAAGAGATGTGGCCTTTTCTGGATCATGAAAGGTGTTTGTTTCCATGGAGAATGTGTGGGAGAAGGGTAACAGAAGCCAGTGATTTTTCCACTGTAAAATAATTGCCAGTGTTACAGCTAACTGATCGAATGGTCAAAAAATCACACAGCTAATTCTCCCCCATTTCTGACACTGAATATTTGTGACACCAACCACTGAATCTCTATTGCTACCATCAAAAAAATCTCCTTCCTTCCTTTTTAAAGTGTAGCTCCTATAAGAGACCACCTGACATAGAATAAACCAAACACTGTATGGAATAAACATACCCAACAGAAACTGAAGAAAGTTGCCAGTGCCTCTAAGTGAACAGACCAAATTACTTCCATTTTTCTTGCCTCTAACATCAGCCAACCTTTTTATAAATTCAATATTAATAATTCAAGGCATGCCAGCTTTAGCTCCAAATGATTATGACCTGTTAATCGTTTTGCAGTATTACACACAGAGAAACAGAGAGATAGCTCAATATATTGTGAGTAAATTATAGGATACAACAATGGCTATTGCTATATAATTACTGCTTCTCTTTCAGAAATACTGTTGCTTTTCTAACTGCAACCAAAAAAAATCTCATTGGGATAACAGACTAATTATTAGTCCACTTAAGTCAATTCCATTTAACTTATAGCACTTTCACATTTGAAAATTATATTCTGCCATACACTCTGCATTGTGCCCAAAATTACTTTTTAATTAAAGATATTACAGCTTTACTATACAAAATAATAGTGTGAGTTACAAAAAGTCAACTTCAGTTCTAATTTTTTTCTTTTTTTAACAAAACTTTTATGTAAACAAGTACAAATACCACCTTACCTTTGATAGGCTCTTGCTAATTAGTTAATCTTATTACAAGGCTTTAAGTGACTACAGGCAATTAAATAATTGTTGATATAAAAATGCAGTATTACCAATTTGTAAACGCAATTTTTTATTACACAATGGAAACATTTACCTTAATTGTTTGTAAAACTATTTCGCAAGTTTATTGTGATTCATTGGCTTTTCTGCTTACTGTCAAATGTAAGAAATGTGAAAATTTACTAGATAAGAATTATTTGCTGACAAATGAGTATTCCGTAAGTTTGGAGGTGCGTTACTGATTTTGTGCTGAAGAATGAGAATGATCATCACTTGTCCCACCAGTAAGACTTTTAGTTACTCCATAGAAAAAAAAATAAAGGTAAATATCATAATACTAGAAGAAGAATGACACAAAAGAACTATTTATTTTGAATATATGATCTGCGCAAAATAACAATTGGTATTCACACAGTCACGATACATAACACCTGCAACAAAAATCAAAACTGAAGAATTAAACCGAGAGTTGCCTGACTGGATGAGCGTATCAGGTGAGATTACTGGTCTTTGCTTTTAGCACTGAACACGGTCAGCCAGAATCAGGCCGATTCAGCCTCAGACAGTAATGCCAACTCCGCTTTAGCACCTATTTCTTGAGGAATTGCTTATGATAAACGCTGTATTGAAAAACCTTTGACTAGAAGCTGAACAACTTAACCAGTCTGTGCAGTACACAAAAGCTGATATGCTCATACATGAATTCTTTTTAGGAACACCTAACTCCTGCAGCTTGAAGCTACAGCTCTGAAGTGCTTCTGAGCAACCATTTTCACAAAGAATAGTCGTTGCCCGTTTTCTTTACTGGGATCACCTATTGCTATCTGCTCTTTAGATCTTCACCAAATCTTGCACGTTGTGTTTTCTGCAACACTGAACTTGAAGGATAGCAATTGTTACTTTCCCCCACTTCATTAAATTGTAAGAGCAAAGAAATGCATTTTCAAAGCTGCAGGTGTCCCAGTTTTAAATCTATTGGTTTTGCAGACCAGTTGAAAATTTATCTTAGCTTTTAACGGTGAGTGTTTTGATACCCAGTCTTTTAAACCGATCTCAAGTTTGCTTTTGTCTGCTTTAGCAATCAAGATCAGTTGAGCAGCACTTCTGTTGCAGTATCTCCTGGGTTTGTGCTGCAAGCCTCCTGGTAAATATCCACAACTTTCTACCCATGTCTATTTTTGACACTGCTTTTTCCCACTTTGCTCTTCAAGACTTTTCATTTAGACGATCCATTTTGGATGAAGTGGGAGAGATGACCATAAAACATTACCTTGTGCAACTGGTAGAAGCTTGGACACATTAGGTTGTTTATACTATCTCGGTGGTTATGGCAAGTAAACAGTGTCTATAACCACAACTTACCGGCCTGGGCAAGGAGAGGTTTGCTCCATACCAATGGTAAAGTGCTCTCCAAACTGGTTCTGGTACCATTATGTAGTCTTTTCCTTCAATCAGCTGTGGAGATCGCTTTAATCTTCCACCCTCCATTGTTAACGATGCAGCCTTTAAACAAAAAGGGATTTTGTCAAAACTCAAGTGGAAAAAATAGTATACATTTACGACAATTCTATTTCATGAACACAGAACACTTTTTAGTTATTAAAGAACATTTAAGTAGCAATTAGCAACTGCTCCTCATACTGAAAGATGGTATTTAGACATAACAATAATTAACACTCAAGCTTCATTGCTCACTATTTCTCTAAAAGGCTGTCCAATATAAAATTTGCATTGTATTTCTCTCGTGTCACCTACTCCAACAACTTCAGATACCGCATAGAGAAATCCAATCTATACTCATCATTAATGGTGCCGGTCTGTGTTTTACGTTTTGTTTGCATGAATACTGGAAAAACTGTCAGTTTTGGTTTACTATTTAATTAACTATTTCCTGGTTTTATGCAATAGCAATAAACTCATATTTAGACTGAAAACATTGAACAAAAGTGTTTAATTATTAAAACGCTTTACAGTTAATGCTGAAAGTTTTTTTCATAAATGCCTTTTTCATTTGTAAATTTTGTGAAGCTGTTTAAGAACATATTGAATGTTCCTCTTCTCACCAAACACTCAATAGTAGCCTTAGAAACAGAACACAATTTTTTCATCTTAAAATAAGAGTAAAAACCCCAAACTTTGTTATATGACAAAGCAATGTTAATTTAGAATTAAGCCACAAGCTGAAAAAAAAACCAACACATAAAAAGCTGTGATAAAAGTACACTCAAAAGATAGTTTTCCTATATTCACATGACTCAGACACATTTACCTTCACTGGTTCTTGTGTTACTAGGGGTTGGTTATCAATAGCTCCTGGTTTCTGAGGATTAAGTTGTAGCAAAGTATTCCCATTGGTTCCAAGGAAACACTGGTTATTATTGTCCGAAGAATTATGCTGCCTAGCAAAACACACATCAGTCCCTGGTGTGCCAGGGTGAAGAGTATCTGTAACAGAACACAAGAAAAAAAAAGAAAAATCTCTCTACTTCAGTTCATGAGTCCATAACATAAATAAAACAGTTAAACTGTTGTATCCTTTTCTTCTGTTTTTATAAGAAAGGCTGTTGAGGAAGTTTGCTATCCTTCATACTTCAGTAAAACATGCAACTCTTCCAAACTACAGAGTGACAAATATACTAGCGCTCTCAGAAAAGGTGAAGTAGTGGATACGAGATCCAAATACCAAAGCAGATTCTTACACAAACACTGGTTTGAAAACAGCCTAACTAGGTTTGCGTGAGCAAATGTGTTTGACATTCGCTTGTTGTCTGGATGCTTGAATATCAAACTCCTGAAAATCTTACATAAAAAACTGAGTATCTATGCAATAATGCCTTATTTTAATTTTTTCCTCTTGAATCAGCACATAGTTTTATTCTTACAGAACCCGTTTTGTAATGCAGAACGCGAAATCTAAATTTCAGGTTAGAAAAAAAGAGAGAACCTTTATCTAAAACTTGTCTCCCTTCCTCTATTTCCCAATTCCCACCCCAAAAATGATCACGGTAATTTATCTACTTTATGTTGAAGTTACATTTTTAAGATACAGACTTTAAAATACCAGATGCAACATTCAGCTGCCTTATAAGGAAAAAACCATCATCTCAAATTCTCACAAGAACCAACTGAAAATCACCACTACAATCTCTTCTTTCACAAAGATGGCTCCTAGAATCTGCACAAACGCATTTAGATCACATGCCCTATAAAACCGTAAGTTTGCTTTTCCTGAATTTTTTTCTGCTTCTTTCCTCTTCTTAGTATCTGAGCTCATCTCATCGCAAGACATAGTCCAACAGCAACTAGGGATGAGCTAGAAACAACTTAATGTGAAGAGGGGGGGAAAAAAAAAATCCACTCAGAAAATAAATGATAGGACAAAAACTATCTTGCAAACAATTCTGGAAATTAATCATCACATAAAAGGTGAATTGCTGTTTAAACAAAGACTGCTTCTTGTTTATCCACCACAGACTGAAAAATCCTAGTAATTCCCCAACGTCCACATGTAAGCCACCTCTGCAATCTAAAGCGTGTTATCTTTTCGCCTGGAGGAATCCATGCAGTATGTAGTTTTCTCAAAACCTGTTCTACATTAAACCTCCAAGGAAATAAGATGTTATGCTTACTGCTGCTAGTAGTCTCTGAGGCTTCTGATGCAGTAGAAATATTATCTGAAAACTTTTCTTCTGTTGCACTGAAGTAATTAAGACCTCCCATTTTGTCTTCTCCCTGTTCTGAAGTATTGGCTGCAGCAGCTACGAGTGAATTCTTACCTCCACTCAAGACAGATGAAGGCTCTATCACAACAGGGTTTGCATCCTAAAATTGGTAGGCAAGTAGAAAAGTTAATTATAAGCCAATATCAAAGACATTTGGCATCAGACAAATCAACCACCAAAATTCACAGCTGCGTGACTACTTTTGCATACCACAACAAGCTTTATAGAAAATAAACCAAATACTTTCTGCACCTACTGATGAAAAATCTGCAGAAACAGCCAAAATTGTTAAACCAATTGAATAAACTCTTCTGCACAATATAAAAATTGTAAAATACCAGAATTATTTTCTCTATCTAGATACATAAAAAGACAGCCATTTTAGACAGCTATAATTACAGACTATACGTATTTGAAGATTCATTCTTGCTGAATTTCATGCGGTTAAACGAGAAGAGCAAGCACAAGAACAAAAAAAACCCCATTCTTTCCTCAAACCTGCAACATTTTAGCTTTCCCTAACTTTGTGCTGAAACAAAGTGCCTTTGTTTCCTTTGGAGAACCAGCAATGCAAAGGTAATCTGGCTCTCACTTGGGCAAGATAAAAATGGGGGAAAAAAATTGCATCCCCTGAAAGTAGAACTTGCCTGCCCAGTAGAGAAAAGATGCAAGAAGAATCCTACCCAATTTACAGCACCAGTCACAACAAGAAATGGCAATAAATAAGAAAACAGAAGAAAGAGGGAATTAACTGACCCTTAGAGAGGAAAAAGGAAATCCGTGCAATGAACTACCCTGTAACAACACTGGAAGAAGGGATATTTCCTGGTTTATGTTGTCCCCTATTCATCACATCACTAAACATAATATCTTGTCAAGTAACAAAGCTGTGCAGTGAAGCTAAAAGTATAAAAATAAGACTAAAATGTATGTTGGAATTACAGCAATCATTTCTAGAGTCTCAGGGAAATTCTGAGTGTTCTTTTTGCCCAAGAGACAGACGGAGTGACTAATGGCATAGTGCTATTATGCAAAGGATTAGGTATGAAATCATGTGCCCATCTGAGTACTTATACTAGGACAAGGATCAAATTACCCAGTATTTCAGGCATTTAAGCCATCATTTGTCCAATTCATTGTGCACAAAGAATAAGTGTAATTACACGGTTAGTTAATGCATACGTTGCAGTTTTCTGAATATTTTTAGTTATTTTTATACAACTCAAATACTTACATGATTACTTATCGCTATATAAAACTCTTTTGAGAAATAGTTTATTTCACTTGTGTAACCTCCAAAAAATATTTATCCCCACCTCAATTAAATTTTATTAAATATGCTTTCTTTTGTAATATTCATAGTGATGCTTTAACTTGCATATTTTAGTTGGAGGGTATTAAAGAGCACCCTGTAACTGTAAGGTTTTAGTACGACTCCTTTGGTCACCATCGGGTACTGCACAACTTTCCATCATTGCCTATAAATTAAATCATAGCAATTCCCTCCTTTATTTGACCAGAAAACACACAGTGTGTATTTCTAGCCTGAGCGAAGTCAAAGCCAAACCAGGTAGCTTTATTATCAAATGGATCAAAAGACTTAAGGGAAGTACTATCATGAGAATATATTTTTATTCAAAAAATACTTTGACATGCAGGAACGACGAAACAAAGTACAGAAAGAGGTGACAGTTTAATGAAGTTAGAGCGAAAAGCCCACCATGTGACAACGATTCAGCAAAACAATTATGTTCTACTGAGACAGAAGATGCTTAATTTCAAGCATTATTGGTTAAGCAGTTGTTTGCTCCACACACTTTTTCTTCCATCAGCACATTCAAAAATACAAAGAAGTCACTTATCCAGTATACATTATTATTATTATACTTACGTATTTGACATATTCTTTCCACTGCTGCCACCACGGCATTGCAATAAGAAACCAGTTGTGCCCTGGCTGAAGGCCATACCTACTTTCCCTTTCTAACCAGCCCCTGCACACGAAGAATGAACAACACGAAGTGTTAGTCGAAACGGGGAAATCACGGTCCCTCTTTTGAAAATATTAAAAGATGATTCTGAAACCCATTTAAGGTTCTCAGCAAAACACGCACCTAATAATCTGTCCTTCCTCTTCTGGAGTGGCAGGTCGTAGCCCCAAAACTATATGACACACCTGAAAAAGAAAGTAATTCTTATTAAGAACTACACCACCATGAAACAAGCATTAGGTAAATGAAAGAACAGAACAGCTCTGATGGAACTTTTCCGAAAATTCTTTTTAATTATGTAGCAAGATTACCTAAAATTGAACAAACCGCTAAAAAAGAAGTATTTGAGTTATGAGATTCCCAACCTGTTCCCACTGTTAAGACAAAACCACCAAGACTGTCAAATGCCCCAAGACAAATTAAGGTGAACAGAAAATGAATTTTCATTATTTTCATGTCTGACACACACGCTACGAAAGATCACAGCAACTGACAAACCGTTAAGATGTCTGTACGTACTGGGGAGAGGGAATGAGAAACTGGGACAACGAAAGCTGCTGGAAGAGGATAAGCTAAAGGTTAAAAAAAAAAAAAAAAAAGACTGGAAAGGGGAAAAATGGGGAGAAGTGGTTGCATAAGGCACAGAAAATGAGCACATGAAGAGACTGAGGGAGAAGTTTAAAGCAGTCCAACCAACTAGTCACCGCTGAAAATGCTCACAAAATTTTGAGATGTTTTTGTATGGTGGGTTGGGGGGGGGGGGGGGCTTTTTTTTTTTTTTTTTTTTTTCTCTATTTGAAACAAATGCTAAAGATAAAGGCACCATCCCCAAGACAGCCACTCGATTTGGGTGGGGTTATATTCCGAGTACAAGAGGGCAGTCCCCGATGGTGAACACTGTACTCTAAAGCCATCCCGGCCCGGCTGCAGCGATGTCTCCGGCTGGTTCGCCCGCAGCTCCCAGCCGCAGGGTGTGCGGCAGGCAGAGGTGAGCAGAGGGAAAGGGACTCCGCGGGAGCCTTGGCTTCCCAGCGCAGGGAGGAGGGTCAGCTGTCTCCTCTCCCAGACGGTTTTCAAATTGGTTGCTACTCATAACATGATTTATAGTCTTTTCCTTATGTCTCTTTTGAGGCTATCAATTTGCATCTCAGCTGGAGACTTCTAATGACTGGTGAGATATCTTATTTAAATTTATATTACAGTGTGAGAGACCATTTCACGTTCTGAATAAAACAAAGGCCATTAGCTGCTGGGAAGCAACAGATTTTCCAGCACACACAACACAGCTGGCTCTGATGGTTCTTTTTAAACTCATGTAACACTGTGCTAGTATCTGATTCTTCATATAAACTAACCCCACTGCAAACAAACCGACCTATTTGTTGTCAAGCTTTCCAAGGCTCTCCACTCGGACTACTTCGCTTTTCTGTCTGCAAATGAGACACACAAGCTCACGACAGCTCAAATAAATGCCCAGATAAATCACTGGCAGGCTCTGTCCTGTGCAAGTACGCTGCTGAGCCTGCAGCACGAGATGAGGGGGCCTCATATGATAAAGTTATCAAAGGAAACGGAAGTCTAAAACAAAAATATAGCAACTCTGACAGAAAAAAAAATACTGTAAATGAGACCTCCAACAAGCAATGTGTAACAATTGCAATGTGTAATCATCACCATGTTCCCTCCTCATTCTACCTCAATATTGCATAGATATTTGTTAGTCAATCAATACCAAGTTATAATAGGATATTTGACGCTAGACAGTCCAAAAATAAAGACAGCCCCTCTTGAGAAGGTTCCAAGGAAAGCAAAACCTGATGCAATTAGAGATAAAAAGAATTTGCAGAACTTTCTGATTTTACTCTTTTCAGCTGTGGTGTAGCTGACGGCCTCAGAATACTCTCACTCAGTCCCCATGAAGTTATTGGCAAAGTATAGTTCAAAATACAATTGATAAATTAGTCTGGGGTCATAAACAGGAGAATCAATAGTATGTTGTTCAGGTAGCCTGTCACAAAAATTTTTATTTAAAAAAAAAATAAAAAATAAAAGCACACAGCTTCTTTCTGATGAAATATTTTTCTGCTACGATCTGACCCTGTAACTGATGAAGCTTCACTCGTAAGAGGAGAACGCAGCCCACTCATTCTCCCTGGCCCTCTCTGGCAGCCCTGGGACTGTCATACAGGGCTGGAGGTGAATACTAAATTAGGGCAAATCTTCAAGGCTCCATTAGGATTATTATTATTTAAACTCAGCCTCTACAAAAAATGGGTAAGGAACAAACTGCAGTGAATTAAAATACTATTAGGGGGTTATTTTCTGCACAAAGTGAGCCAGCGCTAAATATGACTGTCTTAAGAATTTATGAAAGTCCAATTCAAGCTCAGTTAAAAACAAATTTAGTGCACACTTGATCCTCAGCTTCTGCAACACAATAGTGATATGATAACACAGCTTTTAAGGACTGCCGCATGTAGAAAGCAGTGAAAGGTTCCTTAGACAGCCTTAACAGAAAACATAAAGGGAAAGTGGTTGTAAAGAGTTAGCAATACCTGTTCTCATTTCCTGTGTCACTTTCTTGCAAAGATTTGCAAGAACAACCGTTTAAGAACAGCCGTTTTCTAACGGAAAATATAACTGCTGATACACTTTCATTTTATAAACAGTACACTACCTTCACGAATTATGATTTAGGCATCTCCATGCACTGAGAAGATGAATAATCAAATAAGGAATCATTCCATCAAGGTAATGCTCAATTGCAAAACCACGTAGAGTTATTGCAATAGACAAAACCGTAAGCATGTTGACACAAATGCTGATGCTGCACTTCATGGCCATGCAAAAAGCTCATGAGTTAACTACTATAATTTTCAAGTTTAAATTTCCTCTAAACATACCTGAAAAAGTAGATTTAAAAATTCATTGGCAAGTGCACTCTTCACGCTCCATATCTGGTAGTCCTCCAGAGTGAGGTGTCCAAGCTTAGTTAAAGGGAGAAGGAAAAAACATCAAACCACTAACCTATTTCAATTAAAGTGCTCATTAAATGTGTCATACAAGGCATGACAAAGACAGTGACTTGATGAAAATTAACACCTACCACTCTGATAATAAAATGTGATCCAATGAAAGAAGAGAAACCTAGTTTTAGCGTAACATATGCAACCTAAAGAACCAAAAAGCTTTGAGAGTACAGAGGACGAACTACACACAGCGTGTAGTAACCTCTGCTCCTGCTCTCCATCACTCAGATTTAGCATTCATGCTCAACTGCAGCAGTCGTACTTCCTCAAACCGTGAAACCAGCAGAAGCAGTACGTGACTGGTCGGAGCAATCACTTTGTAAGAAACAAAATAAGACTAAGGCTATCTAAGACTCTGATGGTGCAGATAAGCTCTGCACATACAGATACTCGCATCCTTTCAGAAACCCACCATCTTCCTCTCCAGGTTGGGAAAAACTATTTTGGATCATCAAGTCCTTATGATCTTACAACCCAAGTCCTGTTAATTCTTAATCGCTTGCAAAGTTACAGCAGCATAACACTGACCAATGTCACAGGACCTTCTGATTTTCAACAATTCGGTGATAGGATCAATCCGAATGTTTTATACTGTAATGTAATTCATAGCCATTTTTACAGCAGTGGCAGTTACTGCACCTCTTCCTACAGACCATTTTCTCCAGAGCTCACACAGGTCAAAGCTAACAGATGAAAAGACGTTAAGTAATTTATGTAATTACTGCTCCATTAGCTGTTTCCAGCACTACATTCACGATGCAACTACAAAAGATACTCTGGAGACTCGGTCCTCTTTTTTAACTCTTTGTGGAAACATGACTTCGTGGAAACACTTGCTTATAACCTAACCTTTTTAAAAAAGCAAGCAATAAAAACCTCACAGGATGAAAGGAAGAGCTCACTGAAGCTGTATTTTCCACTGCTTTGGTAATGAAAGAATTATAACAGAATATTTGCCCACCACTTTGTTGGAGTACAAGCAGGCAAGACAACTATTCAAACAAGTAATTAAGCATTTCTAGACATTCTTTATAGTTTTTCTTAAATTATTTATAGTTTACAGACTTCCTAATTAGCGAAGCAGAGAATGAAATAATGGAAACAACTTCCCCTACATTGTTTGCAGATGATAGTGCCTATATTGAAAAAGCAAGAACATAATGAAAGATTTACACCCAGCTAACTAGAAAGTGCAATATAAACTATTAAGACTTTTTGCTGTATGCCATGACAGTCATGACAGATGCCTCTATAGTTTCGTGGACACTTAGCTCTGAAAGAATATCATCATATACAGTGCACTGGCTGTATACAATATTATTGCAAACAAAATAGTTTGATAATGAAAATGCATAAGATACTATTGAATTAATCCAGTTCTGTTCCAGCATAGGAGGATATGTCTCTACATAGCATAAAATATAAGATACACTATCCGTTTCTTCATAAGATCATTTTTAACATGAAATAAAAGAATAGTTTCTCCAGAAAACAAGTCAAGCATCAGATTTAAAACTGGTATTAATTATGCATAGCGAAGCCTTGCAAACAGTATATGCTTCAAATTAATTTCATCTGGTTATGTATTTTTGGTTTAGTTTTACATACGGCTTACAAAATTCAAACATGTTCTTTCTCTCACAAAACAATGTGGAACATTTTAATGGAAAACTGACATTTCTTGAAAGATTCTTTTATTGACACATATATGCTTTAAAGAAAGCACAAGATTTTACTTTCTTTCTTATCAATAAACTGAAGATACTAGGATATAAAAATGAGAAGGAAAGAACAGCAAATGCCTACCTTTGTGGTATCATGCATATTCAAAATATCTTCTACAATTTCAGACAAATCCATGCCCAATTCCTTAACAAACAAAAGGATGAGAAAACAGTTAAATTCTCACAGCACACTGTGGAGCTGCGTGTGTTCAGAATGAAAATATAACTGAAAGAATGCTGATGATACCTTAATGTAATTCACAACTGAGTGCTTCGAGATAGCTGTACTTTTGTACCTAAGGTTTCTTTATAGGAAACAGCATACGTTATAGTCAAATCCTCTGCTTTGGTTAATGGAAGTCAAAGTTATGAAGGTAAGTTACATCCCATTATCAACGCTCCCAGCGAAGGAAGCCCGTATTTCACTGAAACCACGTTCAAACAACATCCCCATTCCTACTTTTGAAGGATGACTTTAAGAAACAAATTAATAGAAAACCAAATATAACTTACAGGTATTTTATCAGTACGGTTATCTTTCCAGACCTCTAAAAGTGCAACCACCATTTCTTTCAGCTCAGTGCGAGACAACACACCATCCCGGTCAATGTCAAAAACCTTGAAGCAAACTGAGAAAAAAAGGAAATTACTTTTCTATGTTAAAACTACTCAACAACTGTTTTTTTTTCTTGCAGAATGTAAGTCTGCAGAGTCACAAGAACATGATTTAGTGCTGACAGTTTTGATGAGGCAGGATGCATGTGTGGTAGTGAGGAAATGGAGCAGCTGTGTTTAATAAACTGAAATCTAGATTCCTGCAATTCTCTGCTGTGTTTTCTGATGTGACATAGCAGGGAACATATGTGCATCCAGAAATTTCCAGTGAATGACAGCTTTCAAATTGCAGCAATACGGCTTTGGAAAAGTATGGAACAAAGGTATTTCAAAACACAAGAACCTTGCAGGGAGCCAGCTGAAAAACGGACAGTAAACAAGCCAGAACATGCTGTTTACCACAAGACAATCAAATAGGACATTTGTTTTATATTATATATAATGAACAGATAAGTGTTTGCACTTCCTATACTGAGATACACAGTTCTGCATCATAATACAGAACACTGCAAAATAACTTCTGAAATAAATCTTTTTTCCTCACAAGTTAGTAATTTATAGGAAGCTATGGGTAAGTTATAAAATACACAGAATTAGGTTTAGTCATCCCTTATAAAAGGAAGCCTTGATATTGCAGACTCCTTTAAATTTTAACTTCTAAAGTCTGTCACCTTTCACAGACACACACTTGTTCAGTGGAAAGAATTTCTAGAAAGGTGGAAACAACTAAACTTCATTGCTCAAAATGAAAAACTTCTCTAACATTAAGAGTTAACATTTTGCATACTTACACTTCTGTCTTTCTGCCAAGGGTCCTCTGCAACATGCTGAGAGCCCACAGGAAATTTCTTTAAAATCTATGTGATTGTCTCGGTTTTCATCAAAAGCATTAAACAAACCTGCAAACCACAAAAGCATCTCCTGTTACAGCATCTGGCTGAAACAGCTCACATTCATACTTAGCATTTACATGAGGGGTTAATGGTTAACATTTGCAAGGAGAAGTACAAACACTTGTAACTAATTCTTACTAAGTGTAATAAAGATAATTAAGTACTGCTAAGACCATTTTAAAGGTGAATTAGATGACTCGTGTATGGCTACACAAAGGCAGTGGTGGGGAGAGATCAAGAATTCTGAACTGTAGCCTTATTCTCACGCCTTCCTTGTAATGACTGATTTATAGAAGTGTACATCTAAACCAGTATGGTCGGGACAAGCATTTTCACAAAGCTAAAGGACAAAAACAGTAAAGGTACTCAGACTGCAAATGCTTTGCCTTTTCCAAAATGCCTGACAGAAACTCCTATGAACATCACTGAATATTTTTTCAAATCTGGCCATAAGTGAGTTAGGAGTTTTAGTTACCGGCCTTCAAAGGATTTAAGAGTTCTGTTCATTGAGCAGATGTAACTTTTTTTATCCCATAAAATATTTTTTTTAGTGGCAATGACTGAGTTTCACTATCCACAGAAGACATATAGAATAACCAGAAACCATTCAAGTTTCCCCCCAGCAGCTGTGTAAATTCATATTGCTAAGCAGATAAACCACACTCACAAACAAAAGGATACGGGGATATGTCCCTACTGGATGGAACATAAGTTCTGGTGTTCCAACAGCTTGCATCTGCTGCACGTGAATTCCCCTTTTTCTACTAACTGCTGCCACTTATCAGTAAAGCTGACCATTTGGTGGTCAAAAATGTCACTCTAGGACTGCAGACAAAAACTAGCATGGAAGAAGAATGTTACTTAATGTCCCTACACTGTGCAGTAAATGGAAATTAGACAACTGCAACCTCCAGTTATTACCAGAGCGGCTTCAACTTGAAAGACCAGCTTGCTTAATTAAGGTGTCTGCATTGCAACACACATCTCCAGACCAAGTCTTCTGAACAAAATCTGCCTTAACTTACACTGTTAGGGAAGACTGTTCCATTAACTGCATGATACAACTCTGACTTGTATGCTGAATTGTCACTTAACACATGAAACTCAAATTTGCCATCTGAAAAATGGTCTTCCATTTTATCTCATTCAGGGACAGCGGTATATTTTGTCACTACAGAATCTTAAGGAACCCAATGAAAAATCTTAAGCGACTACAAGGCAAATCATACAGAACCTTTGCTGTATTTCCTGACAACTAATAAGAATGGAACGCACAGAAGCATCACTTCCTTCGTCATTCCAGATTTCCCAGCGAATAAGAGATTTCTCAGGCATCTTTTCTCATTTTCCAACATCCTGAACTCAGTGGAATGAACCTCTGTAATTTAAGCTTAAAATAAACAGACCCACTTTTAAACCCCTAAAATGTGTATGTCAGTAGACCATCAGGTACTGAGCACCACAGCAACACTCCTTCATCACACGTTTGACCGAAGTTCCATACCTTCACTCAGAGAGGGATGAATAGGAGGGGAAACTAAGGGGGCAAATGTTTCTAAATCAAAACGTCCAGTTCTTGATTGAGCTTTCAGCAGCCAGTATCGTTTTTCGAGATCGATGATGTCGGATTCTTCCACTATATAAGCAACAAAAATAAAAGAAATTTTTGATAGTATCTAGACCGTGTTCAAATTCAGCACCAAATAAAAATGCAGCATTATTCTGTCACAAAGAGAAATGATGTTAATTTTTTTATGCCTGATTCCTGCATGTAAAAATTAAAAATATGAGCAGTAGAGAAATAAAGGTCCAATTTTACTTTCTTTATGTACAGAATCATCTTACCTATTCATCATCTAGGAGTTCAACATCAATAATACATCATCACAAATGTTTAGAAATACAGAAATGAACTTTTCCTACTGCTAATGGCTCCAACAGTCTCTTCATTTTCACATATTCCTTCTTGGTGAATGAAACAGGTAGATTATATGTGCAATATCTTATTTTCCCAAGGTATCCAGTATTTAAATCCTTTAAAAGGACTCAAAGTAGCACTTAAAAACAAAAAATCCCAGAAATCTTACAGAAAAAAAAACTAGGACTTGGCTGCTCTTGAAAAATTCCTACTTGATTTTTTTTACCTTCTTATACACTAATAAGGCTAAATTTTAATGTGACAATTAAACACTATATTTCAGTATTAATTTTTTCCAAATATGAAATAGTTTGTTTCACTTTATTATTTATACTATTGATGGACTTAGAAACCCAGTCAAGATTAGGGAGTGATTATACAAACCTAGAAGACACTTCATACTGAGGAACTTACAAGCTAATTTAAAGAAGGGGAAAAAAACAAAACCCCAAACCCAACAATGAGTAAAACAAGGTGCTAGGCAAAGGTGAATGAAAATAGCCAGAGGAAGCACTTGTGTTTTCTTTCAAAACATTATACACAAATTCCAGTCTCCTTACATTTTATCCTTGAAATTAAATATATATATATATAAATATTACGTTTCTGCTCAACAATACTTTTAACCTTTTTACATATGCAAGTGTGTCACAACACTGCTTTAGGTCAGTGCAAATTAATTGGTTCTCAAATAGATATGTAATGACAAAGCTGTCTATATTAAGAACTACTACGTGTGATCCCATTCCCAGATGGTTCTGAGCCTTTAAATCCACGCCAGCCTTCTAATAGGTTTAACTTGAGCTATTTGGCCTGGTTTAGTCTACAGAAACAATAATAATCCTGTAAGGCTTAAGAACAGAAGAGACCCCAAAAAAGTTATACGTCAAATTGAAATTTTATTGATTTCTTTTCCTATTTCTGTCATTAGAAGTAGTAATTTAATCAGAATATTGTAGGTTACCTAAGTTACTAAGCATGAACTAGTTGTAACTACCCAGGCAGGCACATCATATAATGCATCACAAACTACACAATACCTTACCCTCATCAGCAGAAAGTCTGGACAAATTTTAACAAAAGACTAATATCTGAAGTAGAGTTGGAGGAGTGGAAGGAGATTGCATCTTCCTGTAAAATATTTTTAGACAGTCTAACTAGAAAAGTAACATCAGAGAAAATGTCCTCCTTTTCCTCTGTACATTCCGTTCCATCACTAGGCAGACCATATACCAGTGTGCGGAACACCCGCAGCAAAGCTGCCGTTCGAGGGTCTCGGTACACCAACATACCTTCAGGCTGAATGGGGAAAGTTTACCTTCCCCCTTAGCCCCAAGCACGTGCTGCAGCATCCTCACTCCTGGCAGCATCCTCACTCGCTGCAGCATCCTCATGCGCATCATTAGCGGCTATTGTGCATTTACGTAGTAAGTGAGATGACAGAACTGATCCAGAAGAAAAACTAAACTGATTTCCTTTCTCCTCTCCCCTTCCTTCCTAGATGGGTCGATTCCCTCATGTGGCTTACCACCTCCTGGCTCTTGGTTGTGTTGTAATCACAGAATGGTTTGGGTCGGAAGGGGCCTTTAAAGGCCATCCAGTCCAAACCCCCTGCAATGAGCAGGGACATCTCCAACCAGCCCAGGTTGCTCAGAGCCCCGTCCAGCCTGGCCTGGAATGTTTCCAGGGATGGGGCAGCCACCACCCCTCTGGGCAACCCGGGCCAGCGTTCCACCACCCTCAGAGTAAAAAAATTCTTCCTTATAGCTAGTCTATATAGTCCCTCTTTTAGTTAAAGCCATTACTCCTTGTCTTATTGCTATAGGCCCTACTAAAAAGTCTGTCCCCAGTATATAAGGAAACAGTAATCTAAATGTATAAAGGAACATCATTCTAGTAGAAATCATGAAAGTGAAACAGAGTAGTTATTTCTTGAAGATCAGCATAGAGAAATATCATAGGACTGTCAGAGATGTAAGCAGCTTCATGATCCCACACAGAACAGTCAAGTGATGTAGAACTGCATCTGGTACATTCCAAGAAATACAGGGATGTCTTGATAATTTAATGACATACCTGCTCTACAACGGTCAGTATATCAACAGATAAGAGAAAATCTACCAAATAATATACACTTTCCCTCAATCTTGCTGCCTCTACAGGTATCGGGGTGCTACAGCACTGAGAAGAAAGAGCTCGCAAGACATGACGTTGGGACTAGAGTACCAGCATTCTGCAGGAAATACTGGGACAAGTATATTCAAGGAGTTTCCAGAACAGAAATAAACAAAAAGTAAAATAAAAAATTAAAGGTAAAAGCCACTTTATGAGACAGAACCTTAAGTACATGAAGAGAATCACAGCACTATTATACTACCTAAACAACTGCACATGAAGGGCAAGTTTGTACTGTCATTTAGAAGAACTGCACATACACATTATTGCTCTCACTAGCAAATGCAAAAGCATTACGCTAACTCTCTTCAGCATGAGCATGTAAATCACTTTGTTTCCTTTTAATCTACCTTTGTGACTGGGAAGGATAACAAATGTGCTAGTTGCACTTCATTCCTGAAATGATGCAACGCTAAGAATATTCAAAAAACATAAGGAAGGTCACATTGTCTTTACTGAACAGTAAATCAGCAGAAACCTGCTGTCACTGGCAGGTGCATTATTTATCTTTAGTAATTAAGAACTGAAAGACAGGTTCTCTGGCAAAATAAAAAATTCTCAAATACCTATGTTAGAAGCTAGTTGCACTCCATTTTTTTAAATTGTACTTCACAGATAGTTTCTACAGTGCTAACTTTATTGCTTTATTATTTTAATCTCAGAAAAGAGAGGTTATCAGAAAGCATCTTATCTGCATTTCTGTCAAGCAGTGGCTGAAATTACATGGTCGTTTAAAAGACAAAGAATTTTCAAATAACCATCTTCAAAAGAAGAGCTGATAAGTATTAGCATAAGTGCTACATTGATATTACAGCCAAGGCAGGTCCGCTCTATTGACCTTCCGCAGAAGAGCCGAACAGTTTAGAAAGTAAAACTGATGAAGTAGTAAATAATATTCTTTGTACTGATTAGACTTACACAACTGAGGTTGAATACAAGTAAAAACGTGACAAGACTATTTTTCATTCATAGTAACAATGAATTGTAGCCTGTTGCAATAGTTTCACTTACATAAATACAGAAAGATTTATTGGATTACAGCACACGTGAAAGTTTAACTCTGCAGCTGAAAAGCCAGCTGTTACATAATTTGATTTCTCCACAGTGATTTTTTGCACATAACCTTGTAAATCAGTCTCAGGATATGTAGTGCACCATCTATTCCTCCATAAACGTAAACTAAAAGAAATCTCTTGCAATTTATGATATGTACATACAATCTTATTTCTTACTGAAGCTTAAATGAAGTATGATAAAAGCAGACTGCATTTATTATCCAATCATACCAATGCGTATGAAAAAAATGCCATATCCTAAAGAGGTTTTATATAGATAAAGGATTTTACCTTTTCAAAGTATAAATATTTTTTTTCCTAATGCCTGTTCAAATCACATCAAGAAGTGTGAACTGGGCTTTCATTCAGTAGTTCAAATTTTAAATACCTTATGATTGTTTTTTTAAAGAAGTGTATCTTATATATACAATATAGTCCAAAACATCACAATGGACTAGCTTTCTACAACAAGTAAGTATTCATTTTTGTCAGTTACATACAGGATCCAATTATTTGAGGTCACATGGAGATATTACACATCTGTGAACTTTAACCACACACTACCAGTTTACTACCATGTGCTATTTCATGTGTCCTTCATTACTTGTCCATTAAAAATATGAAAAACTTTCAGATCTGTAAAATTATTAATAGTGTTTTTTAGATCAATTCTCTACGAACTAGACAAGTATAACAGGAGGAATAATAATGTCAATCACACCTCAAGCTACAGTTTTCACATGGTAAAAGGAAGAACAGGTAAACATTTTCAGCAAAAATATGCATCTGAGAAATTGTAACTCTACCAAAAATGAATTAACTTAAACCCAGCTGCCATACTGTGACTGACAGTCAGATTACACGACAGTGATAAACAATGAAAAAAAAAATCTTTCATTTTAATGCCATTTCCCTGAAATGTATGCCCTCCTTAACTATTACACAGGCAGCAAGCCATGAATAATCCCCTGTCTTAAGAGAAAAATTAAAAACATGTTTTCATTTCAGGCACTATTTATTACAATTCTATATATGATCAGAATTAACTAAGTATTTCAATACATTTTAAAACTTTCATTTTTACCCACCTATTGGTACAATCCTCTCTGGTTCACAGCAGTAGAAGCATACCATATTCCCAACATTTTAACCAAAACTTGGTTGTTTCAGCATTTACCATGATATCCTCCACGCAAAACCCAGTCCCCCATGGCAGAGAGAGCTCTTCATCGCGCAACGGCTGAGTCAGAACCAGAGATGGAACGACTGAACACCAAACACTATTTCTGACTCAACCCGCTTGTTTGTCCCTTTCCAATTAAGACAGGGAAGCCTCCGGGACCTGGGCAGAGCGAGCTGCTTCGCGGGACATAAAACAGCCTGGGAACTAAGAGGATAACAAAGTGGCAAGATGCAGATTAAGTGACACCGAGGCTTTTTCTTATTGGCCATGTCTGCTGTAATATTTTCATAGGGGTTTTTTTTTTCCCCCCTAATAAAAAAACAGACACACAGAAAAGTTGTGACTTCAACCAAGATCCTTGTGTGTGTCAGACATGACTATCCAGGCGTTCATCTAGCAGAACAGAGATTACCAGTGCCTTAAGATGGGAAACCTTACAGAAGGGCTATTAAACACTACAGTTCCTCTCAAAGCACAAGCGTTCACACACTTGGGGAAAAAAAAATAGCACAGAATGAAATACACTCTTAAGGCACTTTTACTAAACCCAAAATCTTCAGAATTGTCTTCCTGTGGCCTTTCATACATCATTAAGAGATGGTGTTTGAAGAGTGGGTACCACACCTGAAGCAGGCAAGCTACAGAACATGTATTTACATCCAGACCACCTTTTAATGGGAGCAAAGTTAAGTGATTACTTCATTTCACTTTCCTTTTACTGACTCGCATCTTCATCTTACCATAAAGCCCTACAGGTTTACGAACCCGTCTCTAACAGAAGAGGTTACTTCCACAACATTCAGTTTCAATTTTATACTGTTTCAAAAACTCACTCTTCCCCTTCAACCATGCTGTCTGGTTATCCAGGGCTTCTCTCATTTATTATGTTAAATTAGCGACAACTGTATGTTCTAAAATATAATTATTATGCTGATTACACACTGTCTTACTGCATCTCAGCATGTCAGAAAAAGCAGAAGCATTTTGATGAATTTTTCTGATGGCAGAAGAGAGTCTCTTCAACTCAAAGGAGAATTAGGACGCTATTTGAAAAGAACTCAGTGACACAAGAACCGGGTAACAAAGAAGTACAAATTACACTGTCTGTCAGTTTGAAACCAGTAACTGCTCTGATAAATGGGAGTATTCTCCCCATGGAAAAGGACTGAAAACCTGAGTATATAAGCCCATCACATGACACTGAGACACACCAAAACGACAGTCATAAAAAAGGAACGATGACCTGCGCTGCGGCAGCAGAAATATTTCCAGGCAAAGGAAGGAAAGCAATGAGGTCTCACCTCATGCTGCATGGAGCCAGCATGACAGCACTTTATCACCCACCTCTGAGATGGAACAGGGGAGGGAGCACCTGGTCTCAAACAGCCCTGAACCGGGCTCATTTTACGATGGCAAAAAGGTCAAGAAGAAATGTAAGAGTCACTTGCATTTATACTGACTAGTAGAAAGGAAGGAGAGCAGAGACTTTCTGAAACCAAGGACAAAGTTGACAAAAAACTGAGACATAAAGTACCTGCAAACACATGTAGAAGATGCACTGGAATAATTTTTCCCAATTGGGTTAAAAAAAAAACAATAAGCCTCACTATCTTAGGAAAGGAATGGGCCCCCCAGGGTCTGCACCTGGTGGGACAGGAGACCCTTCCACGTGTCCCACGTTCCCGTCCATCTGTCTGCCGAACCACACCACAAAAGCCGTACGTTGCAGGTAGGATGGAGTCAGTTCCAGCCTGATGTGTGCAAAAGCACAAACCAGCCAGGGCAGGCTCAAAATGACACCCGCCAGCAGCTGAGAATTGGTGTTTTACTGAAATACTGCATTTGGACTCCGAGTACCAGAGATCAGGTGTTTAATTTGTAATTATTAAGGATGCATAATGATTTAGGCGAACATTCCCCTACAGAGAATTTTCGTGTTAGCAGTAGTCCCTGACAGGATTTATCTTTGATTTACATGCTCCACTGCAGCGCTATTCAATATGATGGCTTAAAAAAATAAAAAAAAAATTCAAAAGGTACCTGATCATACTACAATACTGAGAAAATCCAAACTACTGCTACCTGCTCGGCACTTGGGTATCCCTGAAACTGGGGTTTGGGAACAAAGGTCCAAGAGAAACTTAAGTTATTTTGGTAGCTTTCAAATGAAACGATTCATATTTATGATTTAAGTGAAATGGAACAAAATTTGATTAAAAGCAGCAAGTGTGTGCAACTTCCTGTAACTTTAAAATTCCATTTCTAATTATGTGTTCAGAAATATAATTAAAGTCATCTGCATACCAAAATAAACATTATTTACAAATGAAAAATTAGAATTCCTTTGTTTCCCCTATAGCTTGGCTCATTAAGCAAATTTAAATGGAGTCACTGATGCTCTGCAATAAAACATTTGCTGTCTGTTTCTAAATCAATGTTAATAACTTCCACTATTTTTATCACCACAATTTTTCACGTCTCCGCCACATTATTCCAGCCGTTTGATGGGAAGCACGCTGCAAGGGGAGGTGAGGCTTGGCGGGGGGGGAGGGGGCTGAAGCTTGAGCCAGGAGAGGGCGCGCTGCCACCCAGTCCGGTGAGAAATTAGCAAGTTTCACTAATTAGTTTTCATCTTGCAGTAGAAGATGTTTTAAAACCTTTCACTCTTTCACTGTATTCTGCTAACAGTCTTTGCCTGGGTTTACTAAATTTTGTTTCAGTTCCTTGTTCTCCCAAAAGGCAGCCATTATCCTGGGTAAAAGTATGAAAAACAAGCCTTCATTTAGAGAAAAGGAACTGTCATAACAGCTCTTACTGTTTTACACATTCAGCTGTGTTAAGAATACTTCAGCACTAAATTTCTTATTCTTTAGATTTACCTGATTAGAACGCAATTACTAAACTTAAAAAACAAAACAGCAAGGCCCCAAGTATTAATACTTCACAGCAATTAATTCCAAGTGCTCAAGCACTTGTATTTTCCTTACTTTTGCATCTGTGGTATGAGATTCCTGTACTGTCTCAAATCACAAGGGAAATCATCGGATACATTATAAAGAAAGTATTTGTCCAGACCCGGAGGAGGCTGGTTAGTTCACCAGCAGGTGAGTTCACCAGTTCATTCCTACTATCTTAACTCCTGACAGTTTTCCATATCTGTCATTTGAAAGATACCGGCTGCAGACGTGGTAACGCAGCACAACTACTGTCTGTTTTTCTTATTACAGCATTGAACTAGAAAATAACAAAAATACAGTAAAGTTTAATTTTATCTACAGGTCCAACATAACTGTCATATGAGCTTTGCAAATTTGGTTAAGACATAGAACCACTCGAACAATTTTCCAAGAATCGGAACAGATTTTGTCCCCATTCATTTTTTTTCTCAGATGCTTCTCATCCAGTCTCCTTAATTTTGTTTTTAGTTATAGCAGTTCCATCTTAATGTCTCTAATTCTTTGTTTACAACTGAAAAAAAATCTCTTAGCCTCTAAGTTGAAGAAAGAAAGGCTTTCTTCTTGATACAAGAACACAGGTGTGGGTTAGCTAAAGTAGATTATTATGCTATTTAGTCTAAAGACCAATTTTTTCTTGAATCATTTATTTTGCACATCTGAAATAGCTGGGAATACAGTTGAGAGTCTGGCTGCAGATGGTAACAGTGACAGGTATATCAAAAAATATGAAATAAAGTCTATTAAAACAGCAGCTCTTATTTTTTTTTTTTTATTATAATAGTTTCAGTATAAATAAACTTTCTGCAAAAAGCATAGTAAAAACTGTTCAGAAAAAGTTTTAATTTCAAAGCATGAAACAAATCAAAGGAAGCTCTGAGGCAACATCCAGAGGCCTGGGGTAAAGGTTTCTTTGAACACTATGGACAAAGGAGACTTGACAAGGTTGGAGGCATGGCAGATCTCCATTTGATACAGCTGGAGAGATTTTTGCCCGGGGTTTAGGGTTTTTTTTTAGCATACCTCTTTCTCTACTTCGTCTATTAGACCTCAGAGTATTTAGTGGTCTTCTGTAACCTCAATGTCTGCTGCAGTCTCTCATGTAATGCAAATAAATTACCTGCCTATAAACTGCTAATTTTATTATGCGTTTTTATTTCAGATGGTCAGAACAGAATTTTAATGCTCATATTTCAAACCCAGAGAAAAAGCTCTATGTTGCTTTATTCAAGTAACTCACCCATTACAGAGATTAAGTGCCATGCTGACACCAACAAAGAAAATCTATGAGAGTACATTAAACACAACCAGATTGCTCAAATCACTGACATCTCAATAGCAAACACCCTCCTCCCAGGGATACCACAGTCCCTTAGATGCTATACTGTAATGTATGCTTAGGTTATACTTGTACATCAAGTATAATTTATCAGCCTTTTGTTTTTACATTTAATTTAAAAAACAGCTGCTCCTTCTTTTACATTAATATAGACATAAGGAAGCATTTGTTCTTTGGATGTTATTCCTAAATGCAAATCCTATGGAGGTTTCTCTTCAGTTAATTTAGTTCCCTGACTACATCACATGCCAGGAATATTACTTATTTTACTACAGAAAGGAAATTAAGAAGTAATACTTATTTTTGAAACAAGCATTATTTTCAGAACTGTCTCAATAGTTTTACAATCCACTATATCTGAAAGACCAAATATAAACCCAGTATTAAGTCACTTTAGATAAATGTATTTGTCAAAAAGAAGATATTTTCCTTTTTTTTTTTTTTATTTGCTCAGTAGCAAACTTCTACTATAAGAAGTGTTGTAATCTCGGTATCGTTATCTCTTAAAAATAATGACCCACAGTGTCCTTGTACATAACAATGTTTTACATGTCACAGCACAAAAAGCAGAGAACAAATTAGCACCAAGAAGAAATTTATCTTGCTGAACAGAACTGAATGTATCTCAGAGCAGTGAGATGTAATGAAGAACTAACGGCAAGGCAACAGCTTATGTCTGTGAACTCTGAAACAGTTTAAGAAAATGTGCATAGTAACAAGCACAGTTTACTTACAGTGTGTGACTCCAGCCAGGGTTTGATAGAAGGTAGGGGTATCGCTATCATCAGTGAGTGTCACATACACACCTCCAGACAGCAGCCAACGGGAAAACGTGAAAGCATCTTTGTTGTGCAATAACCAAACCCTGAACTTCTCATAGTTTACCTTTTCACCCTGAAAGAAAAATAAGAAAGTGTGAGCTGCTTTTCTCTGCTTTCTCAGTATCAGTAAACTGGAACCATCCAGCTGTACGAACAAGAATTGGGACAATCTCCTATAAAAATAAGTACTAAAATAATTTTTTTCTTTGGAGCTATGCCTGTTTTTCCATTTTGTTCTGAAATACAGCACTGGGAGGGAAATTAAGACTCCTCAGCACTCTCTGCATTTCAACCACCTACTCAGTGTGGCCTTTGGAAAATCATTTACTCTGAACCTCAGGTTAAAGGGATTAGAAGAAAAATGGTTACTTACAATTCAAAATAACAGAGGTTATTTTTATGAATTTAAATTTATTATGATAGATAAAAGCTCTAATGTGCCAAATAACAGGTGCTATAAAATCATAAACATTCTGTTATATCAGCACAAGTACATAAACACTTAACACAGGAAAAATTAGATTTGTGAATAACTAATCAGATGATTAATCACTGCAGTAGCATGTCATTTTTTTACCTCTATTGACCAAAACCCACTTTGGAGCACACATGTAAACATGACACTCACAGTATCCCCTAACTCAAGTCTCTCTTGCTGGATGTCTCATGGAACTACCTGTTCAGGAATACATAAAAGCTATAGATTCACAGAGTTTAAATGCAGGAGAGGCTGTTTAAACCATTTAGTTGAATGGTTTCCAAGCTGTGGCCTTGAAACCATAGGGATCAGCAGACTGATTTCTACAGGACCTACAAAACTAACTAAAATAAAAGCAAACCTATTATCAGTAGACAAACTCATTACATAGAGACCCTAATCTCCACGGGAAATAAACAGGGGTCTGCAAAGTGAAAGAGGTTTCAAATCATTGATTATTTAAGCTTCCCTAATATCACAGACCATTAAACTTCACTGAATTACGCCTCTATAGAATCCAACAATTTGCAGTTGACCACGGACTATGTGCAACTGCCAACCGCAGAAAATGGAAAATCCACTACTTCCTTTGCCAGGTTGCTCCAATGGTTAATGACCATCACTGCTAAAACAGTTGCTTCATATTCCAATGGTAATGGATTATTTCAGGTTCCAGATACTCATTCTTTTTATGCCTCTTTTTCCTAGACTAAATAGTGTTACATTTTTCTCCAACAAATAGATGCAGAAAAGCCCAATACTTACAGCTACCATCATAGACTTCCACGTGGTTATAATTCAAGGAAGTCAAGAAGCAACATCACCAGTTTGATCTGTATACAGCCACACTGAGTGACAGCACACTCCTAACCTTCCTCTTACCAACACTGTTTTTCTTCATCCCTTCTCTTTTGTGACTGCACATTAGTGGAGTCAGGTGGCAAAACAGATCTAGCTGAAAAATAACCTAGAGGATTAGAAGCTACAGAAAAAGGGCTTACTTCTCACCCAGATCAGTTTCCTGATCCAGTTCATCAAGGCATCATATAAATACTTGAGCCAGCACAGAGGTAGGAGAATGAATGACAGTCAGGAAAAGGGTAACTCAACAATGTGGACTTTGAAGGATTTAATCCACCGTTTAACCACTTGCTTAGAGCAAAAAAAACCCTCTACTGCCAAATTAACAGATTTTTTTTTTTTTTTAAATTTCTCTAACAGTTTGGATCAGAGACAAGATCATTTTCTTACTACCTGCTCCACTCTACTTTCCCTCTACTTTTTGCCCTGCTTTCTGCAAACGCAGCAATAGCTGTGCCACATTTCACTGAGACTCTGCATTGTTCTGATTGATTAGAGGGAGGACAAGGAAGAAGAGGGACAGGAACACCCTGGCCACGGGGAAAAAGCATTTGAAGAAAATAATGTTTACAGCTGAGCTGTGATGGAACTTGAGCAACTAGAGCAATACAGGTATCACTGAATTTGTTTCCTGTATTTCAAAAACAAAAGTGAGGAAAACTCAGATATATATTTAAAGCTTATATCTCTAGATGAGAACATGCAATAATTCTGAAGAATAGAAGTACCTATAAACATCATCCTTGAAAGCATAAACTCATCCGCCATACGGCAGGAAGGAAGGCCCACAGCAGGAACATTAAACTTTCTCACTCTCCTGCAATGACCTAGTATGATTAACAGGCCAGTAAATCCTGCTGAGTGGGTTATTACGCTATTTTCATTTTAAAAGAAAAATCAATATACAGCATTTTCTTGAACAGGAAAATGGTACTAAGCCAGATTGATACTTCTCTTCCTGCAAGTCTTCACAAAGTATTTCTGGATTTCTTGGACAGCGTGCAATTAACTTTTAGAGTATAATTCATCACACCATATTGATGAGAAATTATAAATAGGAAATACTGAAGTGGGTCAGCTCCAGAAACTGGACTGCAGTATACATACGATTTATGATTCCAGCCAAGAGTGAAGAATGTAATCATTGCTTACAAAGCCAACCTGATACCACCGCCAGATCAAATGAGTCTGCCTCAGCCAATGCCCACAACCAAAGTTATCTTCAATACAGTACAATAAAATTCAAGGTAATTAAGTAATCTAACATCTACAAATAAAGCTTGTAGTCAATCAGTTTTTCAGTGGAATGCATAATGATGCCTAGATCGTGCTGATCTATAGTCCTCTGATAACAAACGAAGCAACCAAAGCACAAAAGCCTGATAATTCATCAGGATCGCTAGTGCCAAAGAAGAATCTGTGAATATTTAAAAGGAACAACAGCCTGTTTTGGAGGAGGACTTCAGCAAGCTTCATAAAGCTCTCAAACAACCTAAAACATAAATAAACGCTGTAGCTCCTGGCAGGCACAGTGAGACAAAAGTAATACTATTCTTCTTAAGCAACCACTGCTGGCAGGCGATTTTAAATCCAGGATGCAGCTTTTCTTTCCTGTCTCAGAACTGTGTTCTAGATTCCTTCCCTGATTGCAATAAAATGCCCACACTAATGAATAAATTTCCACTAGCAATATTAGCATTTATATTTACTTGATAACATGATTACCCTTGGGAAATGATATATTTCAAAGCAGCACAGTAAGTAAAGCAGCATGGAGAATGCCTACATTTGTATACCAGGCTGCCATTCACATCAATACAAATTACATGTAATATCACAACATAAAAAAATACGAGCTTTTACCCAATTTAAACATGGTCAATTTGTTCCCATACATGCACGAGCATGTTCATGTCAGAGAAAAACAAACTACCCAGTATAATTTTCACTATTTTGTAAATGCAATAGAATAAAACCCATGTATGAAATACCTCAGAGAAACATTTCTTGAGTGACTCTGGGACTTTCCCATCAACCACATGCAGCATCTTCTCCATCTCTTCACGGACAACATAACTCCCAGATTCATTAGAAAAGAGACTGAAAATGTCTGAGGAAGTAGAGATATGTTTAAGCAACTATGATAGTTACATTTTTCAAGTATTACATTTACAAGTGGCTGAGGATGCCAAAGGCTGTGCAACAACTAGAGAACTAAAAACTTGGGTTGATTCAATTTCAATATAGCTCAAAAAGGTTTAGGTCAAGAAGTATGTCCTTTTCCATTTACCATTGTCCAGTAATCAAAAGGAAAATAAATACTATCAAGTCTGATTCACAAGGAAGACAAAACAACAGAAGTCAGTAGGCAGATGCTTTCATTTGTTTTGAAAAATATCAATGCCGTCCTCCTTCCTCTGCCCACATACAGTGATCAACAGTCTTTCTGTAGGATCCTAACATTTACATTCATGATGACTTATCAAATATTGCATTTTGGTGAGTATAGAAAACAAAAATGCACTGATTTTCAAAATATCTTTATTGGCAAATGTATGCCCTGGTTACATATAAATATAGGGACTTAGTATACCACAATTTATTTTTGCTTTACATAAGTGTATTTTACACTCACTATCCACTATCGTCTTGTTACTGTTGTAAGTTACATTACTTACATTTTGCTTTTTCTTCCTCTCTGCCTCTGGTAAGTAGAACTAATCCGACAATCAAGTTATTGAAGTGCAGCCCTTTGGATATTCCTCCAAATGAACAGTAGATAACCTAGAAGAATCAAACAGAGAAGTTAACCAAACAGTTAACAGGAACAACAGAGATTTCAGAACTAAAAGCAACAACTTACTGTGAGGCTCCGTCTTAGGTGGTTTTTAGGCCAGTCACCTCCCATTCAGCTAAACACACTTCTAATATCAATTCTCTTATACTTTTATAGCTCTTCCAGTACCTTAAAATAGCCTTTCCAGGGTCTTTTATTTAGTGAAACACGGGTACTTTTAATAAACAGCAATAAAAAAAAATAAATGTTAGAATCCTCCAACGAAGACAGCTTCTTGCTTCCTCACTGGTGCTACTTCCCCAAACTTTCTTATCAAGGTAATGAAGATGAAATCTCCTCCAGACTAGGCCTCAATAGTCTCAAAGCTATCAAGAGGTTATTGGAGCATCATGTGTTTCACTGCCCCAGTCGCAGGAGGCACACTTCCAGTAAGCCATCAAAAACTACCACTTCAAAAAGATGTGACACACACAAAACACCCCACGTTCCATCAACTATACCTTAACTATCTTAACACCACAACTGTTGCTAGAATGACCATCCTATGATTCTATGATTCCAGTTTATTACCCCACTCTAACAATGGTATTTAACTCTTTCTTCCAATAGAAAGCACTAGAAATCAAGGCTTTATTCAGAAGTTACTCAAAGATCCACAGAGCGGCCACCAGGAACAATGCAGTCAACAGAAGGGCTGAAGCGTTTACCTTTCACATGAGAAGTCCGTACAAGCTGCAGCTTCACTTACTCAACAGCATCTTAACAGTGATTCAACACTGATATATGAGAGATGAAGGAAGTAAGTCAGCAACAGCAACTACTTCTAGTCAACAAGAATTACCAACTCACTTATTGCAACGTATTACTTCACCTTGCCTCTAAAACTACAGAGCACAAGTGGAAATATATACATATGCTGTACTGCTCTCCAAACGCGGACTCCTCCTGTCAGCCCAAATCTATTCCTACAAGCACCAGTATTTTATCAGTATCACAAGACAGAAATCTGCGTTAGGTATTAGAATTTAAAGCAGTGAGAACTTATAAATTATTCTTACATAGACAAATTATTTCTATGTCTTTTAATTTCATTTTCTTATAGGTCCCACACTGCGCATCTAACCATAAAGAGGAAGTATTAAGTCTAGCTGGTGGGGAACTATTACTGTGAAAGACCAGAACAAAACGATTTGTCACTGATCATGGTTTGGATAGCAGACTTATTTGCTGAACTGTTTTTTAATATAAATTTTTCAGAGGGAAAGATAAAGGAACAGAGATCAGCTTCTATTAAGAAAAGTGCATATTGTCAATACTACTTTCTTTGCTTGCATCTGAATTACATTCTAAACAGACAACATTAAAACCAGGATATGTACATGCAGTTATGTACTGCTTTTTCATTTTTCTCCAGTAAAGCCTCGAATATATTATTTATATGAGAATTTAGCCAAATAGCAATAGCAGACTTCAGAGGTCAGCAGAGCTTCAGAATTATTGTGAGCAGATTTACTCTTTTGTGTATTACCCACAAAGCAGAGTGAATCATTAGTACACCATGGAACGGAACCCACAGATCTGAACTGCAACACCTCTATCCCTTCCCCTTGCATTTTGTTGGTTTTTTAAACATATGAACTACAGCCAGACACAATTCTAACCACCTAAAGCAACATTATCTTTTTTTGACCTCCCAAGCTCTGTTTCTTTGTTGAGTTTTCTTCCCTTTGAAACTACAAACGCTTGCATAACGAATTTTAGCCTTGTTTGCAAGCCTACCACAGCGGCTCTGACACCTTGGGGCCCCACAGACAAAAATCCACCAAACTACAGAATGGAAACACTTTTAAACTTTTTAAAACTCCCACCGTAACCATCAGGAAACATTTACACTCACAGATGATTAGAAATAACAGTGTGAGATGGTATGTGCAATTGGAGTGACACTTGTCTTCGAGACTATCAGCAGCTCTGGAAAAAACGCCTGTCTCTAACAGTATCTTAAGTGGGTGACATCCCGTTAATCTACCCAACAAGTCTGAAACACATCAAAGCAATCTACTTTTAAACCATTGTAAAACAAAATTGTCACAGGGGTGTACAAATTCTCGCACTAATTAGGACTTCAGTTTTGAAATATAAAAGGTTGTTACAGCATAAAATCTACCACTGTTTGAGGACCCCCCACAAATAGCACAACTAGGATCATAAACCTACTGGACGCATCCAGAGAATACTCTAGTACTAGATTTATCCTTGAAAAAAAAAAAACACCACAGGAATAATTCTAAACCAGATTTAAAAAAAAAAAAATAAAAATAATAATCGAAATTAGATTTAAATATTATTAGAATTTTGCCTGTCTCTTTGCAGACACACACCGCCTACAGCTAATTATTTGTTTTTAAAGTACTTTCCATCTTCTGCCTCTCTTAACACTGTATTTTCATTGCTGGTTTAAACCAGTGTAGCCTTTCCCCTGCCCCCAACAACTCATTCCCCCACCCACACTCCGCTTTCAACATCTCTGCCAAAACAAGCATTCACGCGGCAAGACTATGATTGAAATCAGGGAACCAACTTTTGAGTTTGAATTAACCATTTTCCTTATCGGTTTTCACTAATCCAGCTCAAAGTGGGTGACCTTATGGTGAGAATAAGTAGCCAGGAATAAGCTGACTGTGAAACTGGTACAAAATAACTACATAAATGACATTTCAAACTTTACAAGAGAACTTCTATACACTACCATAACAGCGTAGGGCACTCTGTGCAATCAAGTGCAGCCTATTATCGGTTATGCCCTTCAAAGGAGTCAGACAGCACAACACTACAAGGAGCAGGAATAAGGAGGAGACCAATTCTCAACTGGCTGAAACCCCTTTGCAAAATGTGAGTGCCACTTCTCCCAAAATAAGACTGAAAAAAGCTACCATCTCACTGACGCAGGTCAGGAAATTATTTAGCAGAGAACTGACAGCCGCCAATGTTTGTTACTCTAACTCTAAGAAATCAGTAAAGTACTTCAAAAGAATTTGCACCTTTTACACTGATAAAGCAAAATGCAACAAGATTTGTTACCAAAATGTTTATTTACCTTAAAACAAATAGCTGAACACTGGAAACAGACATGAGAGAAATTAAAATCTTCCTGTATTGTGAAAAAGAACAGCTTTTGAGGTCATCTGCTGACCACTATTTGTTATTAATAAAAGAAAATTTAGCTTCCTTAGTAACATAATCCCTTAAAATAATTTTTCATAATATTTTTTTTGTAAATCACAAAGTGACAGCAATCCGACACTTTTCAGAGACAGTTCTGCGTAAAGATGGGAACCAATGGAGAGCAGCCAGAGGAAACCTCTGTCAGCAGGTGCAGTAAGATCACGGTGAGGCTTGGAAACCGCAGTTTTTCCTATTAAAGAAAAGGCAGAAGAAATCAGCTGAAGATTCCCAAAGAATATATTACATGCCTGCTAACTTCCACATCTGCGGAGGCTGGCATTCGTCTCCTTTGAGTCTCTCGAGGGTAATGGAGTGGGGCTCTAAAATGAGCTTTGCTCAGACAGATCTGTGTGTCCTCAAGTACCTCAGCCTACAGGAGCTGCGATTCTGCGGGAGGTTCATGAGGTTAAGTGGAAAAAGAAGAAAGTTACTGGAACCAAAATCCCTCTTTCTATCCCTTTTCCCCTTCAGCGGCAGCATTCACTGTGCTGCAGCCAGAATCCTCCAGCACAAGCGAAGGGTGGGAGGCGAGCTGAATTCCAGAGCCAGGGGGATGAGTCACTGCTCTGACTATCTCAGGTGTGGCTTCCATCGCAAGGCAAAATTAAGCCAGGACTGGGAGTGACCAAACAAAACCAGCCATGGGCCTGTCAAGGGCACCAGGTAGATGTGGCTAAGGCACACGGCGCTGCAGTGCCAAACAGAAGAAAAGGGAACACCTAACCCAGACGTTGGATTGACGACGGAAACCACCCCTTATGCTTCGGGTATAACAAGGTGCGGAAAATCTACCACTGCAGACTGGCAGATTTCATTTGCAGAATGTATGCTAGACCAACACCAAAGCAGTGTCGGGCAACAAGGTAGTAAAAAATTCTAAATTCTTGTTCGGCTCTCTGCTCTCACAGTTATTAGCAGACACGATGCTGAAGCAGACGGACTCCCTGAAGACACTCACCTCAATACAGTTCTGTGTGTTACCTGCGGTAAATCCTCTCCTTGTCCACCCATCAAACTATCACTTTCATAGCTATTCACTAAGGACTATTAAAAGATGTCTGAAGGCAAGTAAATGTAAATGAGGCTGATAACATAGAAGGATCAAATTCTACAGAAAACATTATGTAGAACCTGCAGCTTCATTCTCCTATAAGATACAGCACTACCTAAACACATTAACTTCCCATAGGGTGCTCAGATCATCCTCTTCTATTACGAGAGTTTAATCCTTTTACAAATGCTCGAAGGGCTAAATTATTAAAACTAAATTTGTGCTCCATTTGGGCACAATGATTGTGTATGCTCCACAGACAGTGTCATGGCAGAGATTTGAATTCCATACTTTCTACTCCTAATCATTCTGATTTCAGAGGATGCCTTCGAGGCTACACTGCATATGTAAGCAATTTACCTTTATGCTACATTGGAATCATTACTTTTTTAAAAAATATGCAGTTAACTCTGCTGAACACTATAGTTTAAGTCTTAATATAACTATTTTTGATCAAAAAAAAAACCCTATGAAGAGCACAAAAAGGAAGAGAATTCTTATATGTCCGATTCCAAGACAAAATATATATATCCATAAACAAAAGAGAAATCACTATTTCTCCTTCACGAATTTTAACAAAATATTATCTTCTCTTTACTTTATTCTTCTCCATCACTCAGATTTAACTCTTCCATGCTTTTAAACTTTTTAAGAACAGCTATTCTATAAATTACCTCAAATAAAGTTGCCTCTTCTCTTCATCCAAAAGCGTATTTCTAATTCAGACCCTTTTCTCAGTTTTTCCACTCACTTCTGTTGAGCTTTGCACATCTCAGTTATGATATCAGTTGAATGCCAAATATTACATTTAGATATTATTTCGACATAACACATGGAGTGTTCATGATATAAACACAGAAAAGGAACTCTATGGATAATGGCCGATGTATTACTATTTAACATACGTAATTACAGCCATCAGCAGCTGGCATTCCTTTGAGTTTAGCTGCTTAACCATTCTTTGGGAAGAGTTTATAAACACTGAATAGTTATATAAAAATATATATCAGACACTAGTTTGCATTCCTAAGAAAGGAGCTCCACAATTTTTCTATGTATGTGTTATTTGGAAAACTTCTTCTAATAAGATACACCACCAAAATATGATGCAATTTTGGATTTTCCAAAATTACTTAATACTGTTGCAGCTTTACTTAGAACAGCCACACCCAGACAGTATCATAGCAATTTACATTTCAGAATGTAAAATTTAGAATAATTATAGGGTACATAGTCATATTTTTAAATAAAATTTAAGTCTGACATGTTGCATTTCATGGATAACTGAAGAGTTCAACAATATGGTTCCTTTTCTGTTAAAAAAATGCCTCAGTCTATACGACCAGTTCCTTCAGGTCCAAATCCCTGGCCCTGTGCCCATACGCCCTAGTGAGCCTGCTGGAAGAGCAGGAGAGGATGCTCGAGGCATTCCTTTGGCTCCTTTCTCTACAGAGTATAGAACGTCCTGGATTCTTTCCTGATTTTATCCTTATGACCCCTCTTCTCTCTCAGTCCTTGAGAAGTCTGTGTTCCTGTTCTTTTGGCAGCCCCGTCAATGTGTCCTTCGTGTTTCTGTTCGCATCATCCCTTTTCTCTTTGCATTACTTGGACTGCAGCTTGTTAACCATTCGGAGAAAAAGATGCACTGACACTTAACTACTCAGTAAACATCACAGATTGCTGTGTACAAACCTTCTCACAATCATAATACATGTAGGCATATATAAAAGGTATAATCAGTCCCTTAAATGACCACACGGGCCAAAGGTAGGGAGTCCTTTCTCAACATTCTTTCCCTCCCAAGTCTAAAATACAAAGCTACTAGAAATGCTTTCTTGAAATATTACCAGCAATCTGTCCTTCCACCTCCTCTAAACAATACTTTTTCTACCAAGGTGCCACAACTGCATATGGTAATTTAAAAATAAATTTAGATTTAAAATAGATTTAAAAATAAATGCTGTCTTCATACATCTCACCATTTGACCAGCTTCCCTGCAGTTTAAACGATGCAGACACAGCACATCTCTTAATTTCATTTTATTAATATCTTCAAGTCCATTCTTCCAAGAGATCTTTTCAGAACATTACTGTCCCGAACATTTAAAAAATGTTTTGTGTGCATGACAATCATGCAAATTGTTTGACCAAAGTTCCACTGGCTTCAGTTCTCTGTTTTATGTCCCTGCTGTAAAACTCTGTGTTTTTAATTTAATGAATTCCTGAAGGCCTATCACTACTCAGATATGAAAAACTATTATTCAAAACATGCAGAGACGACAGCCCAGCAGTCTAAGGCTCAAAATGATCAATCTTCATGATTGAAATGCTGAAAACTCAGAACAAGGCTTTAAGCTGCCTAATGACTTTGCCTGCCTTTCCACATCCTGAAGCCAGGAACTACAAAGCATCCCTTTACGGTATGAGCAGAAACAAATCCAAATTTTGTCCAAATTTACAGTATTCAAGCTCACAGATATGACTACTGCATTGCCTGTAAATGAATGCTAGAAGTACACAGTAATTTGTACTACAATTTTGAGACGTTGAACATGCCAGTTTTGATGAGATGACATCGAAAACAATTATAACTCTTCCATTAATTCTATCTCACCAACTGAAAACCAAGAACTGCAGTGTAACTGTAATGAGTGTTAAAAGAAACAATCATCACTTAAACTGTATCTTTAAGGACAGATTTTTAAAAAATACAGTAGAAGGTATACAGCAGACATTTGCAAACCCAGAGTCTCTGTCTGTGACCAAAAGTTTACTTCATCCAAACCAGTAATTTAATCCTTAATACTGGCATAAAAGGCATAAAAAAGTACATGTTTACTAATAAAGTAAAATTCTCAACAATTGATCCTATTTCAACCAACTGTATACAGCATAGGATACTTTTTTTGTTTACTCTTATGGACTACTAACAGTCAAAGCATCCAGACAACACACAGAGAAATTAATACTGAAGACATGCTTTAAGCTATGGGCAAACCATATACTTCCTTTTGATTGGATAGCGCTAACACACATTGCAATTTTTCCTGGTAAGCACAGTGTAAAAAAAAAAAAAAAAAATCAAACTGTAACTATGCAACAGAGGAAAGTAATATCCTTTTCATCAACACTAAAGAAAAACAGAAAAAAGTAACACTCTGCCACAATGTTCAACATTTTGCAGTGCACACTTCACTACTCCCATTATCTAAACAAAACTGGAAGACTCGTACGCTTCCTGTGAGGTCAATACCACTGAAGATACCAGAAATAGAAGCTGCGATTAGAAATGACATGGAGCAAGGTATCATTTGAAAGGTCTGGCTAATCTTATTCTTCTTTGCCAACAATATTTTAATTTCTCTCTCAAGACAGGGGTAACACGAGGAAAGAAAACAATTTTTTTTAAACATGCACGTGTGCAGGATGGTATTACTATTTTTCTAGATATATACACACAATATATATACCCATGTAGCATATTTTGATTCTGGCTAATTTTCATTTTATACATAACATTATTTTTAAGAGCTTTTAAAGATTAATTTGCACTTTAGAAAACAAAGTAAAAGCCAATGGAACCTCAGAGAAACCAAAAGGAAGTACATCTCCAGAGTAAACAAAATCCTCTCTTATAATAGCTACGTACAGTGTTAAAACTTCGCAACCTTTTACTTCCCAAAATCTACATTTGGATATTCAGGTTTACTTCAAAGTCATCTACCACCTATTAGTTGAGTTGGAATCAGTAGCTCAGTCAAGCACACATCGCTGACAACCCATGATCCAAGTCTGGAACATTATTTTCAGATAGAGAATGTACGTTCTGACATTGTATGAAAAATGGCAAGAAATTAAATTAGCTCCCGTATCCATATAGGAATATCTGTGGGTGCATCTATAGGTGTACATTATCAACCACGTATGCCTCCCCCAAAAACCAGCAAGTTCATAGATTACCTCAGCAACTTTTGGAGGGACTCCATCGCCAAGAACTTCCCTGATGAAGCACTGTTGAGTCATATAATATGAGAGTCCGCATGTTCTCTTGAAAGCATCTTTCAGTCGCTTTAGCTCTATGTCTGTAACTGTGTTGAGTGAGAAGAGAGGAGGAAAAAAACATTTGGTCAATAAGTGTCATAGAAATGTAGTAACTTAAGGACTCTCAAAATCCTATACACCTTACATTTACCTTTACAATAAAAAGATAGGAAGCAATTAAGTGCATGATTTCACCTAAATAGTGGGAAGATCTGACTACTAGAAAATGAGATCTAATAATCTAATCTTCCCCCCCAAAAAAAAGTGAAGTAGACCTAAAGCTAACATCAATGATTACAACAGTTCACTGCCTGTTTTCTCTGACTACAATAGCGTATTATAATTTGTTCTAAATTAAGCACCACGATTGTCACACAAAGGGAAATAGGCTAGCTTTATGATCAATTTTACATTGCATGTAAACCAGAGAAATGATCTGTAACCAACAGTGGTGAATATTACTAAGCGTAGCTCCAGCAGCATGCTTCAAGCAGTTTCATATAGCAACCAGTCTACTTTTCTGTACAAAAAAAAATATTTAATCACCACTTACATGCTCGTAAGACAGTACAGTGAAGCATGAATTTAACAGGGTTACTACAGTTAAACTTTGGACTAAATCTAATTCACCACCTAAGATTTTCTTGCACAGTCAAAATCTGATTGCCAGCTAAAACCTGTTCAAACTTGTTCACAATCTGTAAATGTGAAAAGTTTGATGACATCCTGTCTATACTCGCACATGAGCTTCCTGAAAAGCAGCCCCTGCTTTCAGATTTTACAAGCATAGAGCAACTTTCTAATAAAGTGTTTAAGAATTGAAGTATCTCGCTGAACAAAACAAGTCCTTTGTCAAAAAGTCAAGTTGCAGAGAATAACACACCATGACCCGGATCGCATGTAAGTTACCACGCAGTGCAGGAAGAGCTATTTACCATCCAGAAGCCAAAAGAAATGATGCTGTACATGATAGCTATTTCACTGTATTTATAGTAAGGCATTTTCCTTACCCTGATATAACAAGCCAGACAGAAACAACACTGACATGGCCAAAAGCTTGTCAAGCTTTTTGTCAGCCAAAATAAAACAGAACACTTGAGAGCTTAACCCAACACTCTCTTTATAACATCTACATTTCAATTAACTCATTCAACAAAAGAAAAATCACTCCTTAAAAGTAAATCACAATGAAACATTCCTCCTAATTTTAATCCTAGTCTGAAAAGACTGAAACAGACTAGTGACTTCATTTAACAATTGCGCATAAAACCAGAAATTGGGTCATGTTTCTTTTCAAATTTTGTTATAGATTCAGGGTGCTTCGGTTCAGTAAAATTTCAAAAGACTTACGAAGTAAACCTAAAGTGTGACCCACACAGCACTGATGCTATAAATTAACATGGATTTGGCAAAAGACATACTTAATTTATCATCATCACATATCTTGCCTTAATAAAACAAGCATACTTTAATTATACGGCATAAGAAAGTTGGTATAATACTGTCACCTAGCTTATATGGTGTTTAAATTTCACTATTTTGTATTAACATCTGTCCATAGAGTCATTTTCTTTCTTTGTGTCTTTACATGTGATGTTTAATGAATGCTCAAACACTGTTAGGGATACCAGTTAGGAGTTTTCTTCCAAGATTTGCTCTGGCTAAACTGGAAACAAACTCTCCAATACCATACAATATTTACAACCTGAAGTGACATTCTCCACACTCCCCAGCTCTTCTGAATCATGGAATCGGGAACCAAAATAAAGATTCTGCAAAGAAACCGACCCTCACACCGCAGCCTTTCCTCCAAACACGCACAAAAAATCAACAGAAGTGCCTCACCTCGTCTCCTCCACGCCTCTACACACAGCGTAACTACAGCGAATTTTCAGCCAACAGGAACAACTCCCCAGTACATGTTTAGTGACTAAAAGCTGGGGATTGCTAAGGGGACAGGAAAAGGGGATGGTGCTGGCTTCATTATTTTGGCAAGGTATAGCAAACAACCTAGATCCTAGACAAAATCTAGCAACAGTTCTTTGATGAAAGTATTTTAATTTATTTTTTATATGCGTGAGCACACACATGCTTTTATTAAAAATAGACTCTGCATTCTGGGTTTTTTTTCTCCCCCTCAGTTAATTTTTTGAACTTCTGACCAGTTAACCCAATCTGGTTTGTGGTCGTTTAGCAAAAAAGTTTATACACAAACCAAGCGTTAACTAACCACATGCTTACAGCTCTACATGTTTTATAATGAACTTTCAAGTAACCTAATTAATGCTTACTGCAAAAATAAGGTTGAAACAGACACAACATATACAGCCCCTTAATATAGTGTCATTCTCGAGGTTTGCAGGTTTAGTTTCCTGGCTGCACAGAAAATTCAAGTAATTTTCATAAAAAATTATAAGAGAAGTATTTTTTCCCAGCATTTTGATGATTTTTGCGTCCCTTGTTCCAGTTTGTTAAAAGTTTCTCCCCAGCACAATGGTAAGGAGCAACGGATGCAGTTTCAAACAACCCCGGTCGCCTTCCGGCTGCCCTCACTGCTGAGCCCACTTATGGCAAAAGCACTTCTCAAGAGGAACACAAGTACGATCTCCCTGAGTTACACCTGTGTACTACTTTCTTGCTAGGATTAATTAAAAGAAATACAACAGCCCATAGCCATGTAAAACTTCCAATTACTGGTTTAATAGAAAATTTTATTAAGCCAATAAATGTGAACTGACTATACCTAATAGGCTAGAATATAAAGTTGTTTTTGTCAGTCAATTACTTTCATAATCAAAAAATTTACTGGCCATTCCTTTATGGAATTTACCTGTATTAACAGAAATTAAAGCAATTTGTAACCTGACAACCTAAACTGCAGATCATATGAGTACTCCAGAGATATTTTACATATCACCTTACATCCCTCAGTGCACGAAACAAGTTACACGTCTGTAGGAGTCACGGATCCTTGTGTGAAACTCTGATGTCACAAGGAGCAGTGCATTCATTTATCCCTGGTGGAGTCGCTGTTTTGCAGTTTCGCAGGACAGAGATGGCCTCCCCTCTAAGCAGACAGGTCTCACTATCACAAGTTAAGCCAACAAGCACAGCAATGAAACTTAGGCCAACTATATTTTGCAGATGGACAGTAAGCCCAAGAGCATGGGGCAGGCAGCCGTTACTCGTACTTCCCCGAGCACCTACGAGTGCCAAGAGTGGGTTTCAGGCAGTGTTGAGAAATAGGAAAATCCCATACATACACCAGGAAACACAGATGTGGCTGAGGTCCTACTGAAGGATGGGTTGGCGAGAAGACGACTGGGAAGAAAACTAGTCAACCAATACGACTAACACCTTCAAAAAGAACTGTCAGTATATCATATCATATCATTTAATAGTAGGTGATAAGTTGATACCGCTAGCCCATGTTACATTGCAAAAGCAAGTTATTAGTGCTAGAGACTATGTAATATTGTTGTTTGCATGCATGCAGAAACTACAAAATGGGTCATGGAATTACAGGAAAGGTCATTACTTCTGCTCCCAGGACACATTAAAGTGGCAGATGCTGGCCATTTCAAATCATCTGCAAAGCTTTGTAAAAATAAGTTCATTATACATTTAGATCCAGGCATGTGAAAGTACTACTGACACGAGCAGAGTATAAATCAAAGACATTATCAATGTTACTATGAGTCTGGAAGACAAATAAAATATTTGAATACAAAATCCCAAAGTACCAATTATTCAACATAGAGATAGAACATGATGGCATGTTGAGAGGAAATAAAACTGTCTTAAATGATGAAAGTACCATTTCCAGAAGCAATACATCTATTACTATAATAATATTAAAAATTAGAACACACATACCCACAAGCGACCTCTTTTTCTCTCAACTCCACAAGTCCCGTGCAGCAAGCATCATAGACCATGGAGGTTATTTTAATTCCACCTTTGGACGTAAGTGTAGCTAACAACCCTGTTTCCTACACTGACTTAAGTTCCTTCATGAAGTATATTCACTTTTTCCAAAGGCTCAGTCTTACCAAACGCTTTCAGGAGACAGTTCTCCACAAACACGTAAGAAAAGACCATTCACAAGCTGCTTTCATTAGACAGACACTACACTATCGGATACACTGTTGCTGCATTCATAACCTGACACTGAAAAACAGAACACGTAAGACTTCCCAAAATAAGTTCACGGTAGCCAACGCATCAAAAACCATCACCACACTGCTTCTACCAATAACAGGTGGCACAACCTCAATATTACGGCAGAGAAAGCAATGCAATTGGAACTGCACACGTCAAGACTCTGGAAGCTAACTTTTTATTATTTTATTTTTCAAAATAATAAAATCAATTTGCACTAGTTAGATACTATACTCTAATTCTTAAAATTGTATCTGCCTAACTCCAAAAAAATACCATTGAAACAAACAGAAAAGCCACAGACTATGCCATTCTATCTAGGAAACTTTTCTAATACAAACCTGCTCAATGCTACCTTGGCTGGATGGTTTCCAATGAAGTTAAAAACACTTTAACAGAAGATTAGTGCTGCTGCCAATTCTCCAGGGAATATTCGAGCTCAAGTTTGTTTAATAAAGTTTAAATGAAACCGTGCAACCTCAGCTAAAAATGTCACCGCAACTTACAGTAATTGTAACAAACCTTCAGCTCATTCAACTGCCGAGGATATTTTTAGTTTAATAGCGTTACTTAAACCTAATGCTGTTTACATGGATTTATGAGACTACTATTTTTTTTAAACTCACTTCTGTCCAGGTAACGATTTGTGTAGTGCCTTCCAAAACAGTCCCGTACTGGAAGCCACCCTCTTTCTACTGCTTTCACTCCACGTATTTATCACCAAGTCATCCTGGAGTTTTCCTTTTATAATCAAACCGTATCTAAAGCTCAAACTATGCAAGCCTAGATGCCCAACTGCAGACTTAAACTTTATTTCACCACCCACATAAAAGTGACCTGAATTTCAGGGGGGATCCCCATCAGCTGTGTCGCTGATATAAATGGG